GAAGCCAATCAATAGCAGGCAGGGATGATTCAAGAGGGTGAGGGTAACAAGAAAGAAAGAAAGAAAGAGAGGAAGGGAAAAAAACGGCGGGGGAATAGAAGATAGAGAGAAAAAAATCAAGGTTTCCAAATTTCACACAGAAACAATCGTTGATAGAGTGGAAAATGAAGTATGACAAAAAATAAAATAAAAAGAAAAGGAGATTCACAATAAAATCAACTGTCTTTCTTTTTATGCCCGAAGAGAATAGAACTGCTTGTTTTTGTTTTGGGCTACTGCTACCTTGATACTTTAAAATGATAAAAAGAGTATTCGAATCGGGTGTAGAAGGAGTGTTTCTTTCTACCCATTTTAGGAGGCGGGAATGGAAGGAAGGGAAGAATGATTCATAAAACAAGTAACAAGTAACTAACATTTGGAAAAATAGGAGAACGAGGTAAGGGGGAAAAGAAAAGGCCAACGTGCCTAGCAAGCATTCCATGCAAGCCAAAACGCAAAAGTACAAGAAAGTATGAAAAAAAAAAGAGAGAAAAAACACCTGATGTATTGTGGAATTGGTGGACCAAGCAGCGATAGACAATTAATGGAAGACACGTAAAGAACAAAGAAACATCATAAGACGGCGATGGGAAGCTGATGGAAAAAGAGGACAAAAGAAAAGAAAAGAGCAAGGAACACCCCCCTTTCTCAGCCGGACCAAACTCTTTGCAAGGAAAACAAAAGTAAAAGCAACGAAAAAATAGAGATAGGGAAGAACGTCTAACTGACATTGAAAAGGCACGGAGAATCCAGTTAACATGAGCTTAAACACATTTAAAAAAAAATGGAATGGATGAAAAATGAAAAGGAAACCAAATGAGGAATCAAAAACCAAAACAAGTTTCGAAGTGTAAAAAAAGAAGGAAAAGAGAATAACCCCCGTGACCAGTTTCAAGACTTTACACCTTTCCCCGACCCCGATTGCGTTCTTTGCTTGGACGTACTCTTCGACCGCACGGATGACGACCGCGCACCCCCCGTCGCGCTCAGGTTGGTGCCATCATAATGCTCGATCTGTGGCGGGGTTGATTTCCGATGCTGATGGCCCGCCAGTGGGTATGGATCTAGATCACGACTGCTTGTAGAGAATGTGGAGACGACGGGGGGTTGCTTCTTTTCGCGCTCTTTGTTTTCTTTCTCTTTTTCTTCGGGGTGTTTGTCTTTTATAGATGTGTTCGCATTCGCTGATGTTGATGATGGCGGTGAGGATGGTTGGTGATGGCTGTCAGGGTTGACGTTTTCGCCCTCAGTAGGATTTATAGTCGCAGTGCCGTTGCTTTGCTGTTTATGTTGCCTTTGTTGCGCACACAGATCTGTTGACGGATTGTTGGCGGGTAGAATGGTGGGATTTTCATTTTGGGTGGATATAGATTCTTCTTCGCCCAAGGTCAATGTATTCATAAGAGCGCCGTTAAGGCCATTCAATCCTCCCTCAATGTCACGAACCAGTCGGACGAATTCTTCCGGTACGAGCCCACTTTCTCCAGTCTTGGGGTCTTCCGCAACAAGCCAGCCTTGTCCGTGGCGATAGGATACAAGAATTACTTGTCCCTCCTTCAACGGTAGCTCGTTCTCATGTTCGCGGTCGAAATCGAAAAGCGCAACCGCTTTGCCGTGCATTTCTTCATCGGGAGAAACAATCGTAAATTGGTAATCTCGCGAATACCGTGACGCATCTCTCCATGATTCATCATCCTCTGATATCTCGTCATCGGATTGTAGTTCCACATCGGGTTCCATTGACGTTCGGTCACTCAATGACGCGGCAAAGTGGGAGTCCCGTTGACCACCAGGTGGATATGAGCCGGGGCTCAAGAATGAACGGTTCCCTGATTCGTTGGCTGGGTAGGTAACATATTCTCCTCCAGGACCATCATCAACTGCGTCGTCGTCTTTGACATAGTATGTTGCGCTTCCATCCCCATTTACTCCGACAAAAACACCTCTATCATCTCCTCGCGCGGCATATGACGACGGGTCGGTATTATTGGCAATTCCCGGATTTATCTCTCTGTTAAATTCGGACCCTACATGTGCGGATTTGTGTTTGCGATGCCGAGACGTCGTCACAACAGGGCTGTGCAAGTCCTCATCCTCACTGTATGGTGGTCCATCCCCAAATGCCATTGCAGGGAGTTGTTGGGTACCATACATGGCTTCCGGGTTCCATGATGAATGCCAGTGCCCACGGGAAACATCCCAAGAAGCGCTAGGGGGATCGGATAACCGTCGAGCTTCGCTCGCCGGAGTAGATATTCCCGATTCGCTTGGATGGGGTCCATAATGGAGTGGATGTATTGGTGGGTAGGCGAAGTCCCGTACTAAGGCGTAAGGCAGACTTGAATGAAAAACGGGAAAAGCGTGTGATGCGGGTCGTGAACGGTTCTGGGAATTAAAAGAGGCGCTGGAGTAGGTTGATAAACGATCTCTTGCATATGAGGATGGACGCTGGATATTTGACCGTCGCGGTGCCGGTGATGTTGAATTCGACGGATGGTGAGATATCGTTGGGATTGAGGGAGGATTGTCCACTTCGGAAGGAGAGGACACAGGTGCGGATTTCGTTGAGGCCATATCGAGGGTCACCAGGAGAACAAACGGGGTGCTTCCAACGCCAATTGTAAGCAGGGCGTGTTCTGATTTTTATGCAAGATCCGTTTGAAATCGAACCCTCAATTGGATGCTTTAACCAAGGGAAGTGTTTGTGGGTGTTGTTGTCCGCAATGCTAGCTGTCCATAGCCATGAGAAGTGGAGTCACACTCCAGTAGAGATGTTCGGTGTGCGTGAGATAGCACAGAGGAGATAGTAGCCTGGTGGTCGTAGTGAAGGAGATGGCACCTGCCTGTGTGCGACAGCAATTGCAATATTTTGGGTTGGCCTGCGCGGGTCGAGATTGGTGTTGTATCGTTCACGGGGAGCGAGAAATGCGGGATAATGTGGACTTCTTGCAGAAGGTAGTAGAAGGTAGAGCGTCCAATGATAGCCAGATGTGAGGATAATGTTTTAGAAACACATATGCAAGTCACGATAGGAACCCGCCAGCGCGCGTGGAAAACCGAAGGCGTGGAAGCTGACTGGAGCAGACGAGAGGCTCGGGAAACAAACAAACAGGGGTTGAATAAGCGCCGATTTTCAGAAGACGGTTAGGAGATAGGGAGGGACACGGACGGCTTTGGTTCAGCTACACTACACAATAACGCCAGCTTGGTTAGCCAGACAGCCAGACAGCCGGACAGCCCAGATCCGGGGAAATGGCGGGCGGAGAGGCAAAAAAAAAAAAAAGAAAAAAAAAAAAGTTACCAAGTGTTGATAGGAATGACCAGGCGATCTGGACAGGCAGACTAATGGAGGTTGAGGGCGGCAGTGGCGGGGGGCGGGTTTGTGTTGCAGACAGAACACATGCAGCCCAGGGGCAGAATGACCCAGAGAGGACGCGCCGGAAGAGCAAGACAGAGCACAAATAGGCCGACAAGAGCACAATCCGGGCGCGCAGAGTACGCGGGTGGAAGGGAGGGATAGCGAAGGCGGCGGCAGGAAAAAGAAAAAAGGGCGGGATGTTTGAGGTTTGGCGAGGGAAAATGCAGCAGCGGGTAGAGCTGCTATTAATAGCCCGGCGTGGGGGGGGGGGGGGGGAAGAGGTGGTCGGTCACCGTGACTTGCAGCATCACAGGCTTTGGGCGGCGGGCGAGGTATCAGCTACTTTATCCCAATACTGGGCGCTAGGGCAACGCATATCACTCCGTAGTTAGTTACATACTATGACTTGGATATTTCACTTCTGTAGGAATGACAACACGATGACAAACACGCAGTCAGCATATTTAACATATCTAGTTAGTTACCAGTCAATAGTTAATGTTCTAGTTACAATCCGCAGTCAACAGTCAGCGGTGGAAAGCGGCTGATACAATATTCAATTGGCCAATTTATCAATGTACTGTACATACTTTCATACATACATAGTTACATGTATCAATGAATTCAACAAACAACCGCCCAATGACTTCCAGTGACTGCTAACCAGCTAGAATGCGCCAAGGCTTGCATAAATATCCTATCCCACCTGTACTCGGTATCTCGCATGAAAGACGTTGATCAAGCAGTGTACGAACAATAGGGTGATGTGAAGAAAGCTCCTTTCCTCCTGCCACTGAGTCCTAGTTTTTATTTGTATTTTTTATGCGTTTCCCCAGATTCGCCGTAGCTGGAACTTCATTTCTCCGGGAGCGAAACGGGGATCGTCGTGCGCCATGTGGCTCTCAACTGGAGAAGGGAAGATAACGGTAGCCAACATACCATGCTGCATATATGAAGAAGAAGACCAATGATACTTACTTTGCTATACGTAGAAAATTGCGAGCACGGCCCCAACCAACGCGAAGAACAGCAGCAATACCTACCCTCCTCGGACAACCTCTAAAATTTTCAATGAAACTGCTGCTTCCGGACTATATCACCAATAATACATAATAGGGACTCAAAGCTTGATTCCGGCGCAGCCCACCCTGCAATGTTATCAATGAGCAACTGCTGCAGCGGTAGGATATCCGGAACTACGTGTTGTAAATGCCGCGAAAGCGAAGCGGCCGTCAAGAGCAGAGCGGCGGCAAGTGACCTGTAATGCTTGTGAGCAGAGAAGACGTGCATCCACTCATCCACTCCATCTAGAAGACAAAAAAAAAAAAAAAAAAAAAAAAATCCAAAACTTACGACTGTGCCACTGTCCAAGTATACTGCGACGGCTTCTTCAAGATCTCCCCAGTGTTCTGCAAATACAGTCTGCAGCTGTCAATACACACCTGTGCCTTCTTCAAAATTTCCTGAGACGGCTCTCGCTCTTCAGGTAGCGAAACGGAATACAGAACAAATCGACGATGGATGATGTATCGCGCTTGGTAATAGCGGATTCTCAAAATCCTCTCGTAGGGATGCGCAGTGGGCCCTAGGCCCAGCGTTGGTTTGATCGATTCCGGGATGGAGTTGTACCATAGTAAGAGTTGCTGATCAAGTTCTGACGTGATTGTGAGGGCTTGGGGTACTTCTGACTCGTCACTTAACCAGCCGCTTTCGAAATCGCTGGAGAGCGAGAGAGGACTAAGCACTCGGTTCAGGAGGCTTCTCATGGATATTTCTGCCAGGTAGCTTAATCCTTCTCGATCACTTGGGTTGCCGGCTTTAGGAAGCGCCATGTCGTCGACCACCGTTTGGATTCCACTTGGTGGAAGATTGAGCTCGGAAAGGTAATCACTAATTGATGAGTTAGCATAAAAGTTGCGCCTTTTAATTGTTCCGTTGGGCTCTGGCCTGGGACATGTGGCATATGTAGAGTGGTGGAAGCAAACCATTCTATAAGGAAACAACTCCAGCATGTCTCTGATATCCGCTCCTTGTAGGATTCATCAGCATCAGCATACTTACTGCTGTAAATTAGTAGAAAGTTAGCTCATAAATTCTCAGAGCATGCAGACGGACGTGCATTTAAAAAAAAAAAAAAAAAAAAAACAAATCCACCACTCACCGTGATAGCAACAACTGTACCTCCGTAGATGCCATGAAAATAAGTTTCCAGCTATGCAACGGTTTTCCCAAATAAGCAAAACAAATCCCGCCGAATATCAATGCCTGGGGGAGCAGCAAGTCCGACCCAAACGAAAAGGCAGACTCAGCCATCAGAATGCTTAAAGCAGGCCTGAAGTATTTCAGAGCCGGCTCCCAATATTGAACCCGCGGATCAACCCCTTCGGACTCAGATGCAACATCACCCAATGCAAAAACGACGAGACAGAATGCCGACTGCAAGTTAAACCCCAACCCGTCCGACATGACGTTTGCATACATTGTGCAAAATTCGTCGCGAGCTAGAATTGGATGGCATGGATGGACCTCAGAGAAGAATGTATCCACCAACCGGTCTGTAACATCATTTTCAATGTCTGGCAGCTCCACCTGGGAGGACATCCAGGAGCCGCCCAGCGCGGGGGTAACTTGCCGCGATTCAATCGAAAAGAAATAATCATCGGGAAATTCTCCCACCACGGATTTGATAATTGGTAATTTAAGCAGGTTATTTACCGATGATGATAACGACGACGACGACGACGACGACGTCCAGTGTTTCGGCGGGATGGTGAAGGGGGCCAGTAGTTCGATGCTCCCCTCCAACTGGGCCGTGAATTCAGGGCTGACAGCCGCCATCGACGGTGAGGAAGATTGAGTGTTGTCATTTAATGGAGATGTCAGGTTGAGTCCATCAACGCAGGATGGATCGAGAACCGGTGGCTGTTCGATGGTTACTGCATCTGTCGGCACCGCCTGGGCATCCAGGATCTCCTGCGGGGAACAGAGAGTCTCTAAAACTTGCTGCTGGGAAATCGCTGCGATTGCTTCTGAGTGGGACTTGAGTAGCGTTTCTATGCTGTCAAGCCTTCTTGATATTGCTGAGGAGGTCGTCGAAGATTCCAGGCTGTTAAATGTTTCGGTTAGTCATTGTTTTACGTACCTACAGAGGTAGTTATCAAGTTTATTTATTATCGCTCCCATGCGACTTACGACTGAATCGGAATCTCCTGGTATCGGCATTCTGCTTCTGCCTCTGAACAGTTGCCACATACAGGCTTCGAGGCATCGCAGCGACGCTTTCTAGGAGGGAAAATGTTAGTTTTCTACAAATAATAATACAGCACAGAAAACGTAGTGTGATTTGAGGAGTAGTTGATATATGCCTCTAAGTAGACGAACCTTTGGCGACAAAAGTCGCATGCAAGTAATGCACGCTTGCGCGGGTAGCTCATGATGGAAGCTCAATGGTTAAGATACTCCAATAATTAATCTGTCTTCTTCTTGCTGATTGGTATCTTCGACTGACGAGAGAATTAATGTACTATGCCTGGTCTCATTCTGTGACACCGAAGTGACAGCACTTCGGTTTTGTTCCTCCTCCCCCCCCCCCAAAAAAAAAAAAAAAAAAAAAGCTCTTCCATATTTGACACCAAATAACTTCGTGTGGCTTTGTCACTGTTAACTCAAAAGATCGTTTCTTGCTTCCGTGATTCACGCTGTGGCTTGTTCTCGCCCGCAAGCCGTCCGTCAGCTCTTGAAAGGTTCTCTTTGATCATTCTGTTAGCCCCTGACTCGCTGCACAGCACGCGCCAAGAAAGCTTGCCTTGCGCGCCACTGCGGAGAACAAAGATAAAAATTGAACTCTGTTGAATAATATAATAATAATAATAATAATAATAATATAATGAGCAGGTTGTGGTACGTATGTACAGTACATTCCTTATTTATTAAATCGGAAACCTTGGCGTGTAATAACACAGGTCACATCTCATTATCACATGACGACATACAAGTATAAATCCAGTCTTAGATTAATTGAGATGGACTTCCGGATATTCAGCTAGGAAGCACATACAGTAAATGTACAGTAACTATTTCAGCTGTCTTGTTATACTTCGTGAACCCTGCCCATCCGATCCCCCCCTTTTTTCTTTTAGTATGTTAACGCACCTTCTACCCCCAAACTCCAGAAGGAACATTCCTCCACGAGGAACCCATATATACATCAACCAAATATCATAACACTCGTCAGATCAAGTACTTAGAAGAGAGGGGAGGGGAAAGAAAACAGGAATCAATCAAACTGGAAAAGTAAAATCGGGAGGGAAATCAAAGATCAAGCGCAACAAAAAGAAGCCATCCAATCCACAATCAACACACTGATACCCCACACATAACAAAACAGAAAATAAGAAAAAGAACACAAAACATAGTAACTGAAGATAAATGGAAAGGAAAGGAAACGATAAGATAACAACACGCAGGGCAGCTGTATATTGAAGAACAGACAACAACAACACCAAGTCCCATGCAAAGACGATATGTGATATGCAGAAACAAAAACAAACATCACTCCCTAGGGCAAGAGCCCTGACAAAAAGAGAGAGAGAGATTTGACAATAAACGGGATTGAACATGTCCAACTCCAGCAGCAAAGATCTTCCCAGTCGATTTCATAGCGACACACACGCAAATCAGCACCCTAATATTTCGACACATGTTCCATTTTTCTCCATATACAATATGACTGTCCACTCCCGCGTATCTTCATAGACAATAGAGGGCGAAAGATTAAAAAAAGAAAAAAAAAAAAGAAAAAGAAAAAAAAGAAAAAAAGAAAAAAAAGAAAAAAAGGAGCAATGCAAATGCAAGAAAAGTACTGAGACACGGAACGCTCATTTCTGAAATAGTGGAAAATAAGAGAGATAGGGATAACTAGTCATGCACCTCATGTGTTTGTTTAAACAAGTCTGACTGTATATCAAAAGGAAGTTTAAAAAAAAGAAAGAGAGAAGCATACACATAGTAGATATGATATGACTGATTCCGCAGGACAAACGGTGAAAATTTTATCCACTGTGCCACTAAGCCCATCGACATCGACAGGGTACGGTACACGGGTACATGGGATTATATAGCATCCCATCAAACCTGCCCGCGCACACGAACCTCAGCCAGGTTCCTTCTAAACCGGGAACTTAGTGTCCGAAATGCTCTTCTGCTAGCGCTAGCTGGCGGAGATGGGAGAGGAGTAGGCGAGTCCGCCGGTGATGGTGATGATGGAGTGGGGGTAGGAACAGAGTCGTCGCCGTCGGATTCGCAGTCTGGCAGCGGTGTCTCTTGTGGTTGCGGAAGTTCCGATGCCGGTGGCGTTTCCGACGACGACGGCGGCGGAGATGGTCTAATCGATACTATGAAGCCGGATGTTTGCGCTTTTTCTTGCACCTGCGGCTCCGCTGTGGGACTAGGACTAGGACTAGGACTAGGAGAAGGCGTAGGCGTAGGCGTATCGTCGAGTGGCGCCGTGGGATAAACGGTCTTCGTGGCCGTTACTGTAATCGTCGATATAAGAAGCTCGGGTTGCGACGATGTCGGGGATTCTACTATAGTTGGTTGAGCGTTAGACTGTGAATTAGTGACGGTTTTGTCGTTATTGTTATTGCTGGGTCGGCTGGGTGGTATTGGGATGATGGCTGGGGGACTGGGGTCCGGATTGCGTCCCGTTGGCTTGGGGGGTTGTGCGGAGGCTTCAGTACAATATATGGTTGTGAGGGTGGTGGGAACTGCGATGGTTATCTTTGCGGTGCGTAGAGAGGGTGTATATAGATTTCCTTCTGGGTCTAGAGCGACTGGAACGATTTCGTTTTCATCATCCTCGCTCGGTGTAGGTGCTGGCCCAGGGGTTGATGGTGGACTTGGTGTCATAACATCATTTGACACTCCTGGCGGGTCAATCGCAGTGACTGCAGTCGCCGGAGCGGAATCTAGGATAGTAAGAAGTAGGGGAGCCCTTGAAGGGCTAGGGGTAGTATCTCGTTCAGAAGAGGGAAGGATACTGGGAGTGACAGGTTTTGCTCCGCTACCTGGGTTTTCAGGAGCTTGCTCAGGGAGGCTTGTAGGCGTAGGGCTTGGTGTGGCCGAACCACTCTTGGTAGGTAAAACTAAAGTTCCTGGAAAGAGAGTAACTATGTTCCCGCCATTGCTATCGGTGGATGACGACTCAGAGGACGGGATAGAGCTTGGGAGTCGGGAAATTCCCGATACGGGCGTATAGGGAAAGAGAGGGATAATGGCGGGTGGGGTACTTGTAAGGGGAGTGTCTGGTACTTGGGGTGCTGTGGTTTGCAGTGGATATGGTTAGAGCCTTAATCCATGACGGAGGAGCTGGAATGGATATCGGAAGGACAAGAAGAAGATTAAATAACGAACGAGCGAGGACGACTAACAGGAAAGTACAGAAAGAAAAAGAAAAAAAGAAAAAGAAAGAAATTGGGGCTACGATTATGCCGTGTATTATAACTTACCTGTAACAGGCACGGGAGGGATGCCACAACTATTACCCGCGGGGTCTGGCCTTGTCTCTGGTTCTGACGCTGGTGGCGGTGTTGGAGTTGGAGTTGGAGATGGGGATGGTTCCTGTTTTTCACCAGTCGGCACAGCTTGCTGCGATGCTTCTGTAGAAACTGGGGACGACGGCGGGGGAGAATCGGAGCCCGAGCCATCAGGAATCGTCGGAGCCTTCAAATTCTCGAATTGGGTGGGTATTGCAGCAGAGCCCAAATCCTGGCCTTCAACAAATTTCAATGTTGGCGGCTCTCCCTGGGCAGCCACCTTAAGTTTGCTCGAAGGCGTGATATCGATGTCCATGCAAGTTGTATATATCTCCTCCAACGCCACGATACCCTTCTTTTCGTCAGGGATGGTCGGCCAGTCCCATACCCAGTACAGTGTATAGGGCTTCCCTTCAGGCACATTCGTCGGAAGGGCTAAGTCATGCTGGCACCATAAATTCTGTCCCTGTGACGTAGTAGCTTTATGGGGAAACTCCTTTTGGCGTTCCTTTGAAATACTCTGATCGTTTATTTGATAGCATCTGCCATCATCGTAATCTTGCACTGAGAGGAGCATCCCCCTGCGATCGCCGCCAGTGCCCTCCTTATTCCAAACTTTGTGAATTGACGCGAACTTATCATCAGGCTTGGGATCCCTCGTGCCATATACATATACTGTACCGCGGTTGTCCGGCTTTCCTGGTGTATTCGACGGTAGTGTGACATGGCCATTTTCTTGATATCGCAGAGCGATGGGGGACCCCGGTGGCGCCTTGAGACGCGGTTTCCCATCACTTTGGACCTGCTTCATTTGAGTGTCCCTGCACATATTATCCGTGGGCAAAACCTTAGTGGGCCTGGGGGGAGGTGGGCCTGGAACGCCTGGCGGGGGGCAATGGGAGCAAATATTGCAATCATTAGGTCTGAAAAACTTGGCGCCTCGCGGGGAAACATATCCGCGGGGTAGGCCGGATCTCCGATAAATGTTCCGTTTTTGGCGATAACAGTAAGCTCATCAACCCAACTATGTCCAGCAACGATTGGGAAGAGATAAAGAATGTTGGCCATCAAGGCCAGGGAAGGGCGGAGCTTGCACATATTGAGCATGTCTCCGTGTGGTTTTGACGCTGGTTGACGAGAAATGGAGACGTAGGTAAAATGGAAGTGGAAGAAACAAAATCAGTAGGCCTGGGGGCGGTAGACAAAGATATCGATCTTGAGGATATTGCGTTCGTTGTTGTTGTTGCTGTTGTAAATGATGATGTTTGAAGTAAGACACGTCCAGCGATGTCGTGAGATATATGTGGATGCTTCTACAAGTGTCAGCAGAACTGAAGAGAGTGAAATGGACACTTCAGGTACAAAGTTGCTGTCACGCAAGTTGAATGAGAGGATCCCATGCACATTCTTCCTAGAGAAGAGGAGGAGGAAGAAGAAGAAGCAGAAGGTAGATAGATGGTGGTTTGTGGTAAGAGGCAAATAACCTAGTGTAGAGGAGAGTGATAGGATAGGGAACTTACCATAATAATATTCAATATTCAATCAATGAATACATCGCAAAGATGCAGCATTCATCTGGAAATTTAGATGTGAATGGAGTACAGAAGCATGGAAATAGACAATAAAAGGCTAAAACACTGTGTATTAGAATAGTATTCATTCTATTCAGGTTGTAGTGAAGGAAGTTCTCTCGGCCTGCCTATATGCGCGGGTTATATAAAGAAAGCAGTTGTAGTAGCAGAGCTGACAATGGCATTCATTGTCCCGCCTTATCGCCCACTTGCCCGCTGGGAAATAAGCAGAGCGCGTATATTATTAACACGCTATCAGGAAAGGAAATATCCGAATGACAAGGAAAGAAGAGAAAGGGAAAAAGAACTAGAAGAGAGAGAGAAAAGAGTAAGTTACCCAAAAATACTCGCTGAGGCAGAGGCCCATCGAATACAAATAGTAAAAAAAATGGAAACCCAAGACGATGACAAGATAATAATTCGAGGCTTCATCAACGATTTCTCAAGAAGAACGGGGCAAATCGCTGTCCCCAGTAGTCTGAAGAAGCTTCATCCAGCAATAAGAGATCTCAGCCAATAGATGACTGATGGGCAGCTACCAGCCAGACAGATCGGTTGCAGATTTTAGCAGAACGGGGGCGTTGAGCTTTCGTGCAGGGCAAAAACCATGGTGTTTCAAACACGCTGACCCCGGGTCCTGGAGGTGAGGAACTTATCTCGCGAGGCGCCCGAGATATATATAAATATATATATATATATATATATATCTCACGCGTTCCATCTGTAATCCTTGGATTGCCATTCCACAGCATTTGTGGATATATAGTAGCCACAATAATATAAGCGATGGGAGATGCTGGGCGACAAGTGAGGGAAATAAAGAGATTCCACTGTGATTTAATATTTAACAGGGTGCTAAGATAATATCTGTGTGAGTCTTTGTTAGGATTATTTTCGCAGCGAGGGAGTTACCGCTCTCCTCAGACAGTACCCGTCGTCGCGCGCGCTATCTTGGTGTCTTCTTTGTCTCCGATGAATGATGGATGGTGATGAAAGGGTTATGGCGCGTATAGCGAAAATTAGGTAGATGTTGAACCCAAGGAATGCTGCTAGTCAGTGGCTGCCACGGTAACTTTCATCACCCATTTCCTCTCCATCATTTGCTATTGCTGCTTACCAGTAGTAGTATAGCAGCGATGAGGAACGTACGAGTAAATAGGTTACGTGGAGGAGAGAAAGAAGAGATGAACGAGGGAAAGATTGGTGTTGTTGCAAGCCAACAGCGGCGGACGGCCAGCCAGGAACAACCCCCGACTGGTCAACAACTGCTGAAACCACGAACGACGGGTTATTATCCGCTGCCACATAGCTTCTTGCAGGCGGGATTGAGATGAAACAAACAGAGTTCCCTGAAAGATTGAAAGATTAGAAACACAAATTGTCATTAGCTCCAGCATTGCAGATGGAGATGATTTAATATTCTTCTTCTTCTGCTTGTCAATATCTCTCTCTCTCTTTCTCTTGGCCTTTACTTTCCAACCAACCAACCAACCAACCAAAAGGAATACTCCTACAGGGGCATTCAACATTCGACACGGCGAGTTTTACCAACCGAGATTGATACCCTGCCTTGCTGTTTTCTGGGTTTTCCAGTTATTTTGCCCCTTCATGCAGAACAACATTACGACCCAGCTATTCAGAAACCAGACCATAAAAACCAGGGCAAAGGGAAAGGGCGTTGGGCTCTTGTCAGTTGACACTATAATATTATTGAAAGCGAGGGCGAGGGTTAGAGGCGTAGTAGACCCTGGGCAGGCATCAGAGCTATTATACTCTAAGAACAACTATCTATTGATAATCAACATTGTTGAGCATGGGGAGGAAAAAGGAAGAAACGGATCAAGAGTTTTTTCTTTTAAATTAAACAACACGCCAGATGGGACCCTAACTATTCTTCTAAACTCCTGATCCAACAGGAAGATGAATTCATGAATTAATAACGCGGACAAATAAATAGTAAAAATAGATACATAACTACAAGGTCAGACTTAATTAAGAAACTAAATGTCATCATCCATAATGTGTCTGTCCATTTATCATACATACATCCTAATGTTAGATAAACACTTCCTAATTCATCCTCGCTCCTGTCTGCCTTGACTGCTCAACGTACGCTGTATACCGTTCAGGCCGGCTACATAAATTTGAAAGTGTCGTTCGCATACCTATCTATGTATGATAAGCTACATATAAGAAGCTTCAACCGATTTATTCCCTTCTCTCTTCTCTCTTCTCCTCCCTTTGCCCATGAATGGACATTAATCTCCACCTCCCACCGCCTTCATTGGCCCAATCCATATGCATCAGAGGATCTAGCTACGCATGCGGCCAGATGGAGACTTTTGATAGCAGCCATGCCGGGGAAAAGAAAAAAAGAAAAGAAGAACCTTTCAACCTTCAAGCTTTTGCCCCGATTCCGATCCCCGCAGCCGTGTATTATTAGTATTACCTCTATACGGAGAGAGCACCGAGCCCCGGCTCCCTCCTCCTCCTCCTCCTCCTTCTCCTCCTACTACTACTCCTAGTAGTACGGGTTTTCGGGTTTTGCGCTCTGCGCTCTGCGGCTGGAGGGGAAAGGAAGGGGGGTTACACATTTGTCCATCTCTATACGAGCGTATATACTGCTGGTGGGCAATGTTCTTCTTCTTCTCGTTTAGGTAGGTTTTTTCCTACAGCGTAGTGAAGGAGCGAAAGGATGGAGAATATGACGTGGTGCCTGACTGACGATTGATGAATGTACCCATCCATCTAAGTATGAAATCTTAGGGGACCTATCCTATACAGGTCATCGAGGGGGGTAAAAGCGGTGGGGTAGACTGATCGCGCCTTTTCCTTTATCAAAAAGGTAGAGTGGAGAAGAGACGAGGAGACAAGGAGAATGAGAAGATAAGCATGTAGAAAATGTACCCCGGCATGCATGGTACATGTACTGTACATGAACATGTATGTACAGAGTAATCGCTAGATCTTGCTTGTCTCGCCTGTATGTCGTACATACGTCATATGAACAACATATGTTTAATGATCTCCTCCATGTGGGTATTAAAAATATATAATTAAGGGAAAAACGAGTTGGATAAGGTAGGACAACTGGAGCTTCCGTGATAGACAGCTTGTCCAACATGACATCAGAATGGTCATTTTTGCGGCAGATCTGACAAGAAATATAGGGAAAAAAAAAAAAAAAAGGAAGAGATACGTGGTACCAAACATGGGCTACGGTTTCTGGAAAGAAAAGAGGGCCCGGCCTCCGTCATCAGCATCATCACTGACGGTTGCGTTAACTAGAGCCGGGGGGATCTTTGAATAATATTTCCGATTCGATGGAATTAATTCTCGGGGACACGGGAAGGCCATAGCTTGTGCATATCCGAGAAACCAAACTTGCACACAAGGACTGTCTACCTGCCTTACATCATACATGTACAGTACATGTATACATACATACTCCGTACATACGGAAGGGTAGCCGGGCGAGTGTTCATGTTATGTACGGAGTGCGCTGCGGATGGCATATTGTTGGCGTCATGCCATGCGAAGAGAAATGAAAGTAAACTAGCGACAATATCAAAGCCAATTAAGCCTTTGCGATTGTTTAATAGGATTTGAGGGGGGTTGAATATGAAGTTAATGAGGGAGCGGAAAACACGGTGGAAGTTAAAAGAGTAAAAAAAAAGGTTAAAGAAACAATGTTAACTAGTCCTAACTATGAGGTAACTAACTATCCTTTCTACTATCCTTTCTTTCTTTATGCCGGGTGCAGCGCATTCCATGGCCAGCAACTGAAAGATCTGACAGTACAGTACAGTACTCCGTACGGAGTACAGAGTAGCAGGCAGGTAGGTACAGCAGTGTCAAACAAACATCCCGCGTTGCGTCGGCGCTTGTCAGGAGGGAAAAAAAAAAACAGCGGGTGCAGTTCCGGAAAAACGTGATAATCCGGCGGTAAAATAGCGCGAAGAAGCCTAGCGTGGAAAGGGGCGGTGAGAAGAAGAATGGGCGGCTGGGACTGCATGCTGTAGGCTGTAGCAGCGCCCCTCTAAGCTACACCACGCTCAGCTTCAGGCCCTGGAGACCCCCGAGTTCTGGGTCGGGGTCGGGGGCGTTAGGGGTTGTATGGGCGTGCCTGTTGGGCGTTCCGCCGTTCTCGGTTTAGACTCAAAAGGGGGAAAGGAACAAGCCAAGGCAGGCGAAAAACCCAGCCAAAGAGAGAAAGAAAAAAATACCCTTCAACTTGGTCGCATCCAACTCTGCGCTCGCTCCCTCCTCTTTGCTGCTGCTGAGGCGCCAAACTGCTAGAGGCCCACTACTAGTTACGGAGTAGTTAGTTAGCTTGTTCATCCCTTCCACTGGTTAGCTCATACGCTGTTACATACGCTGCGTAGTTCCAACCAACCAACCGGTTCTCGACTTGCCACAATAAACGGCCGCGTTTTTCCTCGTCCTCACTCACCTTTGCCAATTCTTATCTCTTCCTCTCCCTCCCGCTACTGCGTAGTTATGCTACTCTAGCCAGGAGGAACTCTTCATTTCTCTCACACACCTTCACTCAATTCCTCCTTCTCCCGTTTGTGTGGCTTACGCAGCGACTTGGGCGGTGCAGATCTTCTCTCGCCCACCCTCCTACATACTTTTTTTTATCCGGTCTTTTTCAATCTCTTTTCTTTTCTCGTCCTCTGGAAATCCTTCAATTCCAATATTCTACCCAGTAAACCATATTCCCTCCGCTTCCCAGGAGCTGGTTTCGTCGTTTGTGTGAGTATACAAGAGCTACTATAGTATAGTCCCAAAGACATCAATCAAATCAACATTTCTCGCCCCCCCCCTTGTTCCAGGCAGCTAGCTGCTGTGCTCACCACCAGAAGAAACACCAACAACACCTTACCAATGAACTATCTAACATCTACTTCTTTGTCTAGGGCTTTGTATACCATCATCGCGTTTTCGACGTCTTCTTTCTTCCGGTCCCTCCGAGTCTTATTACCTCAATGTCCGCTATTGTGATGATTAGATAGCCGGCATCCCCCTTTCCTTTTTCTTTTTTGTCTCGTCCGCCCATCGATCAAAGCCTTCTCGTCCCCTAAGACTTAAAAGTCGCATACGTTCTTTTAACCGGGGAACAGACAGCATTGGCTTCGGCAACAAGAGCTCAAAATACCATTCTCGAGTTCCGGAGAAAGAGAGAAACACGTAAAAAATCGCGAGAAAAACAACCCCCCCCCCCCCCCCAAGGAAAAAAACATGAGGGGGTCCTGGGTTCTTCCCCAACGGTTCCGCAACGTCAATGCTTGCGACTCCGCAGAAGCCGGGTGGGTCAATCGCCGCTTGGACACAGCGCTGCAGGCCGCCTCCAGCAGAAGCTGTCTACATCCCATCCATAACCATCGTCGTCATCGCATTGCTGGCAAGTACAACCTATGTTGGGCTTCTCGAGGGGAGCCTGTTTGACGCCGTGAGAGACGTGGGCGCAGGCCCGGGACAGCTGGATGTTGAGCCGTTGTTAACTGGGGCGAGGAATCTGCGACTGGGTGAAGCTACAGGGTGGAGGTGGCAGATTGATAATGCTGTACAGGTGGAGGATGCGAAGGTATACATCGCTTTTATCAAATGTCTCCGCTGAACCTCTTTCTCTCTCCCCCCCTTTCTCTCTCTCTCTCTCTCTCTCTCTCTCTTTTTTTTTTTTTTTTTTGGTTTGGGGGGGGGCTAACCGGGTTATTATTTGTTGTTATAAAACATACAGAATGTACAGCATTTGGCTTTGACAACATTCGTCTTCCCGGATTCATCCGCCCGGTCCCCACAGGCACCACCGGCAGCGAAGAACGTCGCAGTTCCAGCCAACTGCTCCGCAGTGCCTATCCCACATACGCCCAATTTGCTCTCCCCGATATCGCACGATTCGTCATTGGCGTTTGCCGTGCCTTATGATCAGATATCCGATTTCTTGAAAGCGGCACAGGAGATTCCAGCGGAGCAGGATGCCGAGGATGGCTCGACGGAGCAGAAGAAGTGGATCATGAAAGCTGCGCGTAGCTCAGGCTCTGGCTCGCGACGGGTTTTGCGGATTTGGCTTACAGATGCCTGGAATTCGTTTGTTGATCTTTTGAAAGTGAGTTTTCCTCCCTTTTTTTCGAAGCACTGAATACCTATGGATGGATAGCATGGCATAGCAATTGAAAATAGCTGAGAATGTGTACTAATTTTCTAATGTATGCAGCATGCGGAAACCGTGGATATAATTATCATGGTTCTGGGGTATATATCCATGCATCTAACATTTGTGTCCCTGTTCCTGTCCATGAGACGTCTCGGCTCCAAATTTTGGCTCGCAGCCACCGTGCTCTTCTCGAGCGTCTTTGCGTTCCTATTTGGCCTCCTTGTCACGACTAAACTCGGCGTTCCCATCAACATGGTGCTCTTGTCAGAAGGACTTCCTTTCCTGGTAGTTACGATCGGATTTGAAAAACCCATCATCCTGACCAAAGCTGTCCTGTCAGCTTCGCTGGATACTCGCCGCCAGGCCCCTCCTAGACAGGCAGGCTCAACCACCGTCTCCTCGCCAAGCTCCATACAAGACGCCATCCAATTCGCCATCAAAGCTAAGGGTGTTGAAATCGTTCGCGATTACTGTATCGAAATTGCGATCTTGGTTGCTGGTGCTGCATCTGGGGTTCAGGGTGGCCTGCGACAGTTTTGCTTCCTCGCTGCCTGGATCCTGTTTTTCGACTGCGTTTTGTTGTTCACCTTCTACACCACGATACTATGTATCAAGCTGGAGATCAACCGGATCAAGCGACATGTGGCTCTCCGCAAAGCGCTGGAAGAGGACGGCATTACCCGCACCGTCGCGGAAAATGTGGCGGCGAGCAATGACTGGCCCCGCATGAGCCCTGAGGGAACTGATGCGAATGGAAAATCCAAGGGAAATACCAATGGGGTATTCGGCAAGAAGGTCAAGGCGAGTAGCGTGCCAAAGTTTAAGATTCTGATGGTCGGTGGATTCGTGCTTGTTAATGTGTTCAATATTTGCACCCTTCCGTTCCGAAACCGTGGGGATGGGCTCGTTTTCCCGGCACTGTCGAAACTTTCCAATTTGCTTTCACCAGCCCCGATTGATCCGTTCAAAGTTGCAGAGAATGGGTTGGATTCGATTTATGTGGATGCGAAGAGCAAGCAGCTGGAATCCGTTGTTACCGTGCTAGCGCCTATCAAGTATAACCTTGAGTACCCCTCTGTTCACTATGCCGGAGCGGAGGAAGGTGGTATTTTTGATATTGAATATACGGATCAATTTTTGGATGCTGTTGGAGGTAAAGTTATCGAGAGCCTCCTAAAGAGTCTCGACGATCCGATCATCAGCAAGTGGATTATAGCCGCTCTGACATTAAGTGTTATTCTCAATGGATACCTGTTTAACGCTGCGCGGTGGAGTATTAAGGAGCCGGAACCTGTTAATGAAATCTCCAAGGAACCTGAGATTGACCATGAGAAGGAGCAGAGGAAACAGGAGGTTAAGGCTAATGGCACGCTTCGCTCGCGCGAGGAGTGTGAGAAGTTGCTCAAGGAGAAGATGGCACCGTTTTTGACAGATGAGGAGTTAATTGATCTTTCGGTCCGCGGGAAAATACCTGGTTATGCTCTGGAGAAGACCATGGAAGACCCAAGCATTCCCCGCATCGATGCGCTGACGAGAGCCGTGAAGATCAGAAGAGCCGCTACCGCAAGGAACCCTCAGACCGCGTACTTGACCAGCTCACTCGAAAGCTCCAAGGTGCCGTATAAGGATTACAACTACACCCTCGTCCACGGTGCCTGCTGCGAAAACGTCATCGGCTACCTCCCGCTCCCTCTCGGTCTCGCAGGGCCGCTCACCATCGACGGCCAAAGCTACTTCATTCCCATGGCGACAACGGAGGGTGTCCTCGTCGCGAGCACAAGCCGTGGCTGCAAGGCTATCAACGCCGGCGGCGGCGCCATCACCGTCATCACCGGCGACGGCATGACCCGCGGGCCTTGCGTTGCGTTCCCAACCCTCGCCCGTGCCGGCGCTGCCAAAGTCTGGCTAGACTCCGAAGAAGGCCAGACCGTGATGAAGAACGCCTTCAACTCCACCAGCCGCTTCGCGCGCCTGCAGTCCATGAAAACGGCCATGGCCGGCACGAACCTCTACATCCGCTTCAAGACCACGACGGGCGATGCGATGGGCATGAACATGATCTCCAAGGGCGTCGAGAAGGCGCTGCATGTCATGTCCACGGAGGCTGGGTTTGAGGATATGGATACCATCTCCGTGTCCGGGAATTACTGTACGGACAAGAAGCCGGCTGCGATTAACTGGATTGACGGGCGTGGAAAGGCTGTTGTTGCCGAGGCGATTATACCTGGTGATGTGGTGCGGAGCGTGCTGAAGAGCGATGTGGACGCGCTTGTGGAGCTGAATATTAGCAAGAATCTGGTCGGGAGTGCGATGGCGGGTAGCATTGGCGGGTTCAACGCGCATGCCTCTAATATCGTCACGGCTCTATTCATCGCGACGGGCCAGGATCCCGCGCAGAATGTCGAGAGTAGCAACTGTATCACCATGATGAAGAAGTTAGTTACCTCCCCCCCCCCCCCCCCCCCCAAAATTTCCCCTTCTCATTTCTCCCCACATCATCCATCCTCTCCTCGTACTAACCCCAACAACCCTCCAACAGCGTAAACGGCAACCTCCAAATAAGCGTCTCCATGCCCTCCATCGAAGTAGGCACAATAGGCGGCGGCACAATCCTCGAAACCCAATCCGCCATGCTCGAGCTCCTCGGCGTGCGTGGCCCGCACCCGACAAACCCAGGCGACAACGCCCGCCGTCTCGCCCGCATCGTCGCCGCTGCCGTGCTCGCGGGTGAGCTCTCTTTGTGCGGCGCGCTGGCCGCGGGCCATCTTGTCAAGGCACATATGGCCCATAATCGCAGTGCACCGGCGGCGACTGCTGCGTCGACGAGGTCTATTACGCCTGTTTCGGCGGCGGTGGGGGCGGCGGCGGTCGGGTTGGGGATGACGCCTGCATCTGGTGCGGGGCGGTGATTGGTGATTGAGGCTGTTGTCTACCTTTTTTCGTGTGACGATACGATTAATTTACTCATATTTTGTTTCTTTTGCGTTTTTTCATCTATTTCGTTTTCACCTTTTTTTCCCACCATGGCATATATGGAGCGTATATATCCCCTGGATATTTTGTTTCTATCTTCCCTTTTTTCTTCCTGAACTCATAATTATTTTATAATGTAATGTACTTTTTGGTCAAAATGTCCCAGGTATTTTTTTTTTTTTCCTTTTTCTTTCGTCTTTTTCTTTTCTTTCTTCGTCTTTTTCTTTTCTTTCTTCGTCTTTTTCTTTTCTTTTCTTCTTTTCTTCATTTCTTCCCCTCTCGCGTCAGTTACATTTTTTTTGTCGGTTTGATGTCCTTGATGTGATTAAGCTTCTCCTTCCAAAGAAATAACTAAATAAAGCCATGTACGGAAAATGAACAAGGGGGCTGGACTGGGCCGGGCCGGGCCGGGCTTGATGCAAGGGAGAGGAGAGAAAAGGCAAATCTACCTCGCAGGCCCAAGCAGGGTTTCTTGATGGCTGCTTGCAGTGAATGAATTGGGGGACTTGGCTGAGGTGTTTTCTTTCTTTCTCATCTCGTCGATTTCTTGGTCCTCTCTCCCTTCCCTTTCTTTTTTCTCTTCTTCTCGAGGGAGGGTTCCGTGTTTCCTTCCCACCACCCAGGCCCAGCGCGCCCTGATGATGGATGGATGGATGGATGGATGGATGGATGGATGGATGGATGAGTGTAGTGTATATGACCTACGCAAATACTGTACTGTACCTAGAGAGATATAAATACACCGCTACCTAGTGACTCTTCCATTTGACACATCTAAATATCTCATAAATATCTCCAATGCGAATGGAGGTTTCATCCATTTCTTATTGCTGCCCCCACCCCTCCCCCAAAAGCGGGCCTAAGGTGTGGGGTTGGTTGGGTGTTGAACAGCGTACTCCAGCGTACTTCCCGTAGTTGTGGGCGCAGTGTACGGAGTAGTAGCAGCGTAGTTAAGTTATTATTAGAGTAGTTAGCGTAACTTGTTAAGTTAATTTATTTTCAACATAAAAAAATTTACCTCAAGCCGGGCCAGCCCTGGCTGGTCCTTGCTTGGTCCCTCCCCTGAATAGATTAGATAGATAGGATAGGTAGGATAGGATAGGTAGGATTCTTCAACAAATCCCCCAATCGGCTTACCAGTTACCAACGCTGAGGAGAAGAATAGAGGATTTTTTGGCGCAAAGGCAAATAAATAAATAAATGGCCATGGCTGGGCTGTATATACATGTACATACATTGTACTATGTATGTACAGAGTAGTTTTATCGGGAAAGAAACTGGGATAGACTAGTTCTGCATGTATGTATGTATGTATATGTATGGATAGGGTGATATTGATATAGAGTATAATCTCATATTATTTATTTACTAGCCCTGTAGAAACCGGAATGGAATATATAATAATAAGAATAATAATAATAATAATAATAATAATAATAATAATAAGAATAGAATAAATCATGTCTCTCTTCTCGTGCCGCTGCTTGCCCCCGTAACTATAGCGCGCGCTTGTTGTCTAGTTTCCTGTTTGTCTGTTGTCTGTTGTCTGATGCTGCTGTCTCCTCCCCCTTTCCTTTCTGCTAAATTCAACCAGTTCAACCAGTTCACCCTTCACCAGATTCAACTCCTCCTCCTCCTCCTCCTCCTCCTCTGCTCGCCGCTGTGAAGGCGAAGTTACGGATCAAGAGGTGCCTCATCTCCCATCTCCCATCATCCATTAATACCTCATCCTCTTCCTCGTTAACTACCCTACCTACCTACCTCAGCCAGACCAGGCTTGGATCTAACAGCCATTCCAACAACCGTCGCCCTGCCTTGCCTTGCCATCCCGAAGATCGTCTCTTTTTTCTTTTTCTTTTTTGTTTTTCTTGTCTTTTTTGTTTTTTTCAATATTTATTTTTATTATTCCTACTATAGCACTTTTTCCAACGCCTCTCTCGCGTCTCCTCTCATATGCAGCAGCAACTAGCAGAAAACAACGCGAAAAACCTGCTTTTGTTGCCCTGCTTGTTCAAGGGGTGAGTGAGGGGGGTGAAAAAAGAATCGAAGACCTATTAACTAACTTTTAGTTTATTTATCAGCCAAGCGCCCTCAACCTCTCCTCCTCCTCCTCCTCCTCCTCGTCCTCAAACCAACCTTTTAATATATCCAGACGAACCAGACTACTACTACTACTACTACTACTACTACTCTACGCTTCTTCTCCGCAAAAGAAACCACCCCCATCACCGCCTGTCCCCGAAACAATCATTTTCCTCTACACGGGTTTTTGTTTCCCTTTTAACGATTTAATGAATCTACCGCCATTCCTTTCGTCTCTATGAGCCTGTTACAATCCCTCCAGCCCTCGCTATTTCGTCATTCCGCCCGAACCCTCCTTTTAATAACTCCTCTTCCTCCTGTAAATACCGCTATCTAAAACACAATCGTTTGCTACCCTCACCCTAGCCCAGGCCGCGCTCTCTTCAACTAGTGGAAACACTCTCTGTCGGGAAAGCTGGAGTATACGAAAAGGATAAATATAACAGACCAGAATTCCCTGCTGGGAACTTTACCGCGGCGTCGGGCAGATAGTAGATAATATACGGGCTCCTCATGCTTTTTTGAAGTCCTCAATAAAACACAGACACTCCGCCCGCCTCACTCTCATTCTCACTCCCATATCCTCGCTTCCTCCCGAATCCATTGGCTTCCTTGACTGCGCTTCTGTGGGGGAATGGTATACTTGCTCACCCAGGGACAATGTCACCCGTTTCTTCCACCGATGGAAGCGAATGGTCCGGAGTCGACCGCTACCAGTCGATGGGCGGCAAGTCCGATACACCACAGTCTCCCGCTCTCCCGCACGGCCGAAGCGCCCTAGCCTCTCCCCCAATATCTGCCTCAGGTGGCCCGCCTTACAGTCCGTTGCAAATGCATGCCCCGGACGCTCCTGACCCTGCTCCCAATGGCAGTAGAAGCAGCACCAATGGCCTTGCTCCGCGTCGCCCTTCAGACATGTCCCAGAACCCTTCACCTCCCAGTTCGGTCACGTCCAGGTCGAGAGCGAGCGATGGAACCCTTTCCGATCAGAGAAGCAAGAGGTACAAGATGATGGAGGACCTGCTGCTGAAGCACTATACCGTACTGAAACGATACTTGCATGGACAAGGACGGGAGGATCCTACGGCATTACACCCCAACAAGGCACGCGACAAGCTCCTCAGACTCTCACCGAGTCAGGTTATGGATCTAAGTACAGATGTGTATGACGAGCTACTCCGTCGCCAGGCAGTCTCGCCCAATCGACCCGGCGGGCCCCGACCAGATGTACCCCCTTACCTCCCCCCGCGCCAGGAATTCCACGAAAAGCGTAACCAAGCCCGCCAGGTCCTCTCCTCGCTCCAACAACCCAGATTCAGAAACTTGGCTACAGACGTGCTGTGTGAACTGGAACGGCGCTTCCCGCATTTTGCCGGCATGGATCGGAGTCGCAGAGTCAGTCCCGCACCCAGCGTGCGCGGCGGTTACGGCTCGGGACTCACTAGCAACGGCTACGATCCTCGCCCGGCTTCCAATGGATCATTCGGCTATGGGCCAAATGGCTACCCTGCCCCCCCACGAACTCAATCCAGAGGTCCCATGCCACAGGTCACCGGTCCTGGCCCCGGGCCTGGTGGAAGAGGCTTGCCACCAAATCCCCACCAGGGGAGCCGATTCCCTCCCCGGCAAGGCTCGTTGAGTCACTCTTCCGGTGCCGGCGGCGGTGCACCTGGTGCTGCAGGCTTAGGGATCAATGAGGAGACTATTCCTGAAAACGCGCCGTTTCCGAAATCATTCCAGAGTAACACTATAGTGCCGAATAAGAGCACTATGGTGGAGGAAGAGGAGGAAGAGGAGGATGGTGATGTTGATGTTGATGTTGATGTTGATGTTGATGTTGATGAAGAGGAGGATGCGGCAAGTAGGTATGACGATGATAATGGTCCTGATCGGCGGAGTGATGCGTTTGCCTTGGATAAGGTGTTGCAGAGTCGGAGGACGACTACGACGACGGATAGTGTGGGTGTGGGTGTGGGTGTGGGTGGAGGTGGAGGTGGGGGCTCGGAAAGCGATAAGCAGAAATTGGCAGAGGTGCAGGGGCAGGTGTCTCAGTTGAAGAAACAGATAGAAGAGTTGGAGAAATCGAAGGATGCAGAGCTTGAGACGCTGAAGGCGGAAATGGCTAATAATTCTAATGTGGGCTTTTCTTTGGTTCTTTGTTGCCATGTTTTGGACCCCTTTTTAGTTTTTATCTCTTGCTTGTTATTTTGTTGGTTACATTTTTACTAACATTTTTGGTTTATGATGAAGGCTTGGGATTCGGAGAGACGAGAGTGGGAAAGTATGAGGGAAGACTGGGATCGTGCAAAAGAAGAATGGGATAAGATGAAACTAGATTTGGAAGTGAAGCTTTCGGAGGCGGAGGATCTCAATGCTTCCCTGCAGGATCAGTTGGAGGGCGAGCGGAGAGAGTATGAAGCCTCAGAACAGGTTCTACAGCAGCAAATACAACAGGCTTTGGCTGCCGCTGCCGCGGCTACTGAGAAGGCAGGCGCAGGCACAGGCACAGACACAGACATAGACACAGATGGCGGAGTATGGAAATCACGGGCTGAAGATATTGAACGGGAGAACCAGGAGCTTAGAGAAGAGCTTCGAAAACAACGAGAAGTGACCGAGCAGGTCCGAAAAGAGGCTTCCAACTTCCTCCAGGAGATGCGCGCCCTTTCTGAACGGACTCAGGAGCAATGGGAACGTGAAGAACGCCTCACGCACGACTTTCAACGAATGGAGGAAGAGGTCAAGATCTGGAAGAATCGGTATGCAAAGACGAAATCGCAGTTACGACATCTACGATCTTCGTCGAGTGGCTTGCCTGGTGGCATACAAGATGCCACTACGATAGCAAAGGACAACGATCTAAGCCATCCAAATGGATTGGTCAAGGATGTGCACTTTACGAAATTCCAGATGTCGATTGACGAACTACTTCGCACGGCACGGATCTCGGAACCAGCACAGGTTCTCGAACAGATGAAGGCCGTCGTCTTCGCCGTTCGTTACATCACCCGGGACATCGAAAATGCACAAGGGAGCGGGGCGGATGAACACACGCAGTCGCGCAGCAGAGCAAAAGCCCGCGTCTCCGCCACTGCCAACAACCTCATCACAGCCTCGAAGAACTTTGCAAACTCCAACGGGATGTCGCCCGTCTCCCTACTCGACGCCGCCGCCTCGCATCTCACCGCTGCCATCATCGAGCTCGTCCGCACCGTCAAAGTCCGACCCACACCTGCAGACGAACTTGGTGAAGACGATTACGATGATGATAACTTGGGATCCATGCAGTCGCCAGCGTACTTCAGCGTCCCGCCCAGTCTGAGCCGGATGAGCGGGAATGACTCCGTCTACAGCGCCATCAGCTCGCCGCATTCGACACGCTCACCTGGCCGGACGAGTTCACGTCTACCGCCGTCTCACCGCAAGACGTATTCCAGCGGGCAGCTACTTGCAGGCGGGGGTCTGAGGCCTGGCCTTGGGATTAGTGAGTTAGATGGGGAGTTGGAGGAGCTTAGGGTAATTATATAACCCCCACCCACCCTCCAATTATGTATATGTTGAGACTTAAAGTATGCATATTCTTTTCTCCGCACTGAATGCTAAAGAAAGAAATTGGGGTGAATAGTTATACCTCGAAGACCAAACCGAAGGCGTCGTCCAGTCCATCCAAGCCCTCGTCTCCTCCATCCGCGCCGAGCCAGACGACATGTCCGCCATCCGAACGCATATTGACGCCATCTCCGCCGTCGTCAGCAAAGTCATCGACGCCACGGAATCTGCCATAACGCGCCAAGAACAACAGCAACAGCAGCACCAAGACCATCACCAGAGCAACAATAATAATGATAACCATAGTAATACTGACCTTAATGTTAATAATAATACCATCCTCCGCGACCGCGCCGGGCCCATCATCCGCATCCTCTCCGAGTGCCGCGATAGGCTCGCCGAGGCTGGCGCAGAGGGTAACCAGGCCCTGAGTGTTAGTGAGATGCGGGAGGTTACGGGGAAGTTGCCGCCCATTGCGTTTCAGATTGCGCGGGAGACAAAGGAGTTGGTGCAGCGGCTTGATCAGATGGAGATGGTGGGGAGTGGGAATCATGGTGGAGGAGGGGGTGGAGAAGGAATGGGGGGAGGTCCGATCGGGGGGTGGAGGGGTGCAGAGGATCATGACGATGATGATGATGATGATGATGATGATGATTTCCGATGATGATTTGAGGGAAAAGAAAAATATCAAAACCTTCAAAAACCTTCATCGAAAGGTGTGGGAAAAGGAAAAGGAATAAAATGCCTTTTTTTTTTTTTTTTTCCCTTGTTCTTTTCTTTTTCTTCATACGCGAAGCCTCCCCTTCTCCCGGACGTCTGCATATTCCCCTTCCCTGGGCTTTCGTTTTAATGGACTAGACTGCATCATGTACTGTACCTCTGCGTGATGATACGGGTTGTTCTTTTTTTTTTTTTTTTTTTTTTTTTTTTTTTTTTTTTTTAAATTCTCCCTCCTTCAGCAGCGCATACGAGAGGAAGAAGGGGAAGGGGGTGTTATATACCTCCCTATCTCTACATCGTTTCTTCAGCAACTTGTTTTTGTTCGATAACATTTTTGTATTTTTCATCCTACTACTTCTTCTCCTCTCCAGTCTCGACCGACCGACCGACCGACCGACCAACTCCTTTCTAACCTTTTTGGTCCGATATTAGTTCCATGCCCCCCCCCCTTTAGCAACATAACTGTCGATTCAAATCATATTATTTCTTCTCTTGAGTATTCATTTCATTCACCTTTGCAAGATCATTCATATATACTTGGCCCGGCTTGGAGCTGTTTTATTTTATTTTATTTTACTTTTACTTTTATATATATATATATTATTGGAATTCCGTTCTTGCTGCATATGAGCGTCCGGGTATTTATTTTTGCTTTATTAATTTTTTATGTATGTATGTATGTATGTGTGTGTGTGTGTGTATTCCAAAAAAAAAAAAAAAAAAAAAAAAAAAGTCTCACAACAACACATGAAGAGATGGGTTAGTTGAAAAGAAATATATTATGTCTATTCTCTCCTTTTTTGAGACAAGGTGTTTTTTTTGGCTTCATATTTATTGCATGCTGTCTTGTCTGTCTGGAGGCTGTGTGTGACGTTGCCTGGTTTCGTATTATTCTCCAACCCCGAAAAAGAGAAATCGTAACCAGTTCGTACGGGATGGATTGATTACCTGCAAGCTTCTTCTTAAAAGTTATTTTACCGTTTAAGTTACTCCGTAGTTACAATCTCCCTCCGAACGAAACGACTTCGGACTAGTTAGAACTTAACTAGCTACGGCAGCCCGAAATCGCCTCTTGTGCAACTCTGGTCTTTTTTTTCTTCTTCTTCTTCTTCTTCTTCTTTCCTTGCCATTATTTTTTATATTTTTTTTTTCTTCCCCCCGACTGACTTCTCCCTACTACTGGTTCCTACACAGCATCAATTCCAAACCACCGCAAAGGGTAATTTTTTTTTTGTATGTAAGTATAGGATATATATATATATCTCTCTCTCTCCCTCTCTCCCTCTCATCCCCATTCTCTCCTTTTTTTCCCCGAGGGTGGTTCCTCTACAATTCGTGTGTTTTGGCTTGGCTTATGTATGGGGAAGGGGGGGATGGATGATGTGTGGGATGATGTTGTGGGTGGTGGCATCTAACTATTTCAATCCAAACAATCCAAACAATCCAACAAGTTCCATCGGATGAGGTGGATTATTTTATTATTGACGCAGATACGACACGGGGGGAGGAAAGGAATGATTATTATTATTGATTTTATTGTCCTTGTCCTCTCTTCTCTCTCCTCCCTCCGCTGCCCCTTGCAGCGAAAGAAAGGAAGAAACAAAAGAAGAGACCAAACAAAGGCGGAGAGAGTGAGACTGGCAGCAGTGGGCTAACTTGTCTCCCGTAGATTATTCTCTCTCTCTCTCTCTTCTTCTTCGACTTGTTTGTTACTACTACTATATATTTTGTGTAAGTGGTTTCTGTTCTTCATTCTTTGCTTTTATTTATTTATTTATTTATTTATTTGTATGCTTGTTTATGTGTTTGTTTATTGATAAAACAACTACTGGTATTCCCTGTGATGTTATTGATGATGCTGACTGTCTCAGAATATTACATACATACATACATACATACCGTATCATACCGTACCATACCGTACCCCGAGCGTCAGAACATCCTCGTCACAAGCAAACAGCGCAAACATGCCCCTCCTCGCCCGCTGCCCCACCTTGCTGTCAACCCCTCTTCCTTTTTCTTCGCTCGCCTCCTCCTCCTCCTCCTCCTCCTCCTCCTCCTCCTTCCTCCTCCTCCTCCGTTCTTCTTTTTCCTCCTTCTCCTCCTCCTCCTCCTCGTCGTTTTCCACCCTCTCGTCTGCTTCCTCGCCTCTACGCTCGCTCTACGCCTCCAACCACTCCATCCACAACTCCCGTCTACGTGCTTTCCACTCATCCGCCGCAGCCATGACTATCACAACCTTCTTCGAGGTCCAGTACGCCGACCCGGCTCAGCCCAACCAGTGTATGTTTTGACCCTTCCCCCACCCCCCCATATATATCTATCTATCTATCTATCTATCTATATATATATTTATATTTATATCTATTTACTTTCCTATCACTCCTGAAAGGAATTGGCATCATTCCCAATTCAATTCCATCAATTCCATCAATTCCATCTCATTCACTGTATCTCCCATTGTTTCCCCCTTCAATGTAACAATAATATCGCCAATTGCATCTATCATTGGCGTGCAATTGCGGGCAACCCAGCATCCCAGTCATGTCCTTCCCAAGGTTCCGTGTTTAGCTGACTAACACTCCGCCTTCAACCTGACTTTTTGCTGCTCTATAGCTACCATCGGCCGAATTGAGTTTGAGCTCTTCGACGACGTCGTCCCCAAGACCGCCGAGAACTTCCGTGCCCTCTGCACCGGCGAGAAGGGCTTTGGCTACAAGGACTCCGTCTTCCACCGCGTCATCCCCGAGTTCATGCTCCAGGGTGGTGACTTCACCCGTGGCAACGTATGTAGTTCCAATTTCCTTTGTTTATAACTTTTTTTTTTTTTTTTTTTTTTTTTTTGGTGTTGTGTTGGTTATATATTATATATAAATGGAACAAAACTGACCATTTCTATTTCATTTTGATTTTGACAGGGCACTGGTGGCAAGTCCATCTACGGCGAGAAGTTCGCTGATGAGAACTTCAAGTGCACCCACGAGGGCCCTGGCATCCTCTCCATGGCTAATGCTGGTCCCAACACGTAAGTACCCCTTGTTCAAATCTTTCAACAAAGAACATTCTTACAACTTTTTATATATCCCTATTTTTTCCAATATCTTTTCTCCCTCCAACCATCAAACTAACTTACTTTTCCTCCCCTCCAACAGCAACGGCTCCCAATTCTTCATCACCACCGCCAAGACCAGCTGGCTCGATGGCAAGCACGTCGTTTTTGGCAGGGTCGTAGATACCCCCTCCAGTAGACTTGGTCTCAACAAGAAGCAGTCCATGGATGTTGTCCGCGATATCGAGCGCAGTGGCAGCAGCTCCGGCGCCATCAAAACAAACATCAAGCCTAAGATCGTCAACTGCGGTCAGGTCTAAAATACTTCCCTCTTTCTTCTTCTAGAAAACTTCTTTTCTTTAATTTTTTTTATCTGTTTTGTGATGCGGGGAGTGAGGGGAGGAGAAGCCGTGGGATGTTGTTAGTCATGTGATGTAACAGAATACGGTTAGCAGCAGTGAAAGGGGAAGGTGGGAGTGAGATGTTAGTTGCTGAAAGTTGAGGGTTGAAGGGGGAAAACCTGGCCTGTTTTTTTATACTACTAATGAAGACAGAATCAAAAAGAAAACCAAAAGAAAGAAACCCACCAAAAAAAAAAAAAAGAAAAAAAAGAAAAAGAAAAAGAAAAAGAAAAAGAAAAAAAAGAGCTGCAAGTTTTATGAAATAAAAACTCAAAATGTAATCTGAATACTTTCAATAAAGGAAATGCTTTTTTTTTTTTTTTTTCCCTTACGGATTTGGTTTTGACATGTCTATTTTATTTAACCTTTTTTACTCTTTTCTGCTTTTAATAAGACTAGAAGAACTGAAGCAAAGTTAATGAAAAGTGAATTCTACAACCTGAAATGAAAATAGTAATTATGAGAAAAAAAAAAAAAAAAAAAAAAAAATTCAACTATCCAACATACTCATGATTATAGATACTAAATAGAGTAGTAAGAAAAATGAGAGAATACATATGCATGAATCAATCAAGAAAAAGAAAAACTCTACACTTAGAAGAAGAAAGAATACAAAGTCACTTCTTCTGATGAAGTGTTATTTATTCTCAGTTGAAAACAGAGCTAATTGCAATTGCAATTGTGATTGATATGAAATAGAACTGACTCATCTTTTCCATTCAATGTCTTTTTTACTCCGTACTCTGTTGTGTGTATACATGCTCAACACCTCACCCCACTCCACTGGTTCTATCTGGTGGACATTTTTAACCATTATTGTAGTTTGTCTAGTCTATGTATGTTAGATATAAGGTAAAAGACGTATGTGGTGGTAGGTAGGGAGGTAGGGAGGTATAAGAGGGAGATTTGGTTTTTGTGTCTCCTGGATATATATATATCTGCGCCGGACGACTAGATTTGGGTTTGGCTATGCGGAGAGGAAATAACATCATGCTTTCTCTGCTGTTGGTGGTGCGGGTGGGGTGGGTATTCTTGTTCCGTTTTATATATATATATATATTTTGTGTAGATAATGTCGCTGGTGCACAGCTCTGAAGGGCGGTATTTCGGGCCATCCAATAATGTACATTACATACGTACATGTACAATGTATGTACCAACCATATGTTCGCTCAGGAACCCTGTAATGGTTTGATGTTGTAGTTTTCCAACCTCCATCGCCGCTGGGACGAAGTGGCAGCGATGGAGGTAGTCTTAGCTCATTGTTCCATACTAGATAATGTTTCACCCTCCCCTTCCAGCACTTTCCGCCCCGCAGCTTTCAAAACGCCATTAAGTATCTCCCTGACCTGCTTGCACCCATCCAGCCCCACCGCAAACATAGTCTCCAGATATGAAATATGCACCCCCGACTCCATCTGGACAACAGACAGCATCTGATTCTCCTCCCCCTCCTCATCATCCATCGAATCGTCCCCCGTGGGCGCCGGGTTCGTATTCGCGACAGTCATGAATGGGAGTTCTTGTTCTTCGGGCATCGACATGTCGAGAAGCGGATCCAAACTTTCGTTAATTCCGCCCACTCGGGCCAGTTCAGGCGCCGCCGGGGTGGATGCCCTCCCGCTCATTCCGACGGTGCACGCGCAGAGAAGGCCGGGCATTGGTATCCCGGCATCCACCAGTGCTAGGGTGCAGGCGTTGATGCATGCCGCAAAGAGAGAGCCGTCGGATGATAGGACGGAAACGTGAAGGGATATTGTGCTATGCGGATATAGGTGGGTGTGGAGATGTGGTTGGAAGGCGTCACGGAGCGCGGTAGCTAGATCTGTAGATGCTTGTCTGCAGCTTTGGTCAGAGGTTTTGTTTGTCTATGAGCAAGTGGGAGAGGAGCGGGAAACGAACAGCTATACCAATGCAATGGGGTATTAAAAACTACTAACCTGTCACCTCCACCGCCAGTCGCACCCCTCTTCTTCCTGTCAACCCCAGAAAACCCTGCAACATTGACAGCAACTGATACTACGGCACCTTCACGAGCAGGGCCTGTTGCTTCGGATCGTCGGCCTTCCGCCGGCCCATGGACCATACAAATAACTACCGTATTACCCATTGAGAGATATGATGATCCAGAGCTCGCGGGGTTCGTGGAGATCTGCGCTTGCATTAAACGGAGCTCATTCCAGCGCCTGCCATCTAGCCGAAGCCTGGTGAGGCGATATGTTGTTGATGTGTCGAGAGGCATTGTAGCATTCGGGCTCTGTAACCACCAGACACCGGGCCTAAGGAAGGCCTTTTGGACGTTCCGATCACCAATTGACTACTGGCAAGCACACGCTCTAGCAGGTCGTCTGCTGCTCGATATAATAAAGCGTTGAGGCGCAGGTGGATGTATGTTTTTTTTTTTTTTTTGTGCGCGGGGTTGTCGAAATAATATGTAGTTCCTAGAGAGGGGCGAGCCAACAAAAAAAGGATGGAGAATGGATGATTTCGTGGAAGAAAATAATTATTTCTCCTGGCGAACTAAGACGCAAAATGAGACCGCTAGAGCATTAATTGTTGGTATCTTGCATGAAATTTCACACTCTTAGCTGGAAAGATTTAAAAATCTTTGAAGTCGAGCTTCTTACCATTTTGGGAAATCTTTAGGTTGACTGTTCGAGCTCATGTGACTTGGCGAAACTCCCGCGGATCTTCGCGTGTAATATCTCTCCCCGCATCAAGGCCCCAGGGTCGCCGAAGACCAACGCGCGGAATTTGACTGCAGCGACTACGTTGATTATGGGGCCCCACTGGGAGCTGGAGGATTCCGATGCCACCACGCAAAGTGAGGATGTGAGCGACGATGATGACTTGGGCTGCCCGAGAACTGCACCTAAGATCTGGCGACACCGGAGTGAGAACAACGAAATTGGAGGTATGGTGTCCCGCACTAATCGCGTCGGTCCTATGAAACTGACAGGAATCAGATATAGGAAGCGCCTCATCAGATCAACCGGAACCAGCCCACAGCCCAGAACCCACAACTGTGCGCGTAAAGCAGGAGACGATATCAATATCGGACGAGGAATTTGATGATGTAGCTGGTTTCGACGATGGCACGGCCACATATGAGAAGTTCAAAAATAGAAGGCAGACCCAGCGCAAGGAAGCCAGTGCCAGAACACGTAAAGCTAAGGGCGCAGTTCAAAATTCCATTGTCGGCAAGCGGCCGAGGACAACGGAAGCTAACTCATCCCGCAAACGCCAGCGGCAGCTAAAGGAATATGGGGAATTGTCTTCTGACGATGATTTGGTGGAACACGCCCTCCCCAGTTACCTTCAAAACCGCCGCGCAACATTCGACAAGAAGACAGCGTTGCTGAAAGAGGCAGGATTGAAGTTGCCTCCAAGTTTTGAGGATGTTGAGTTCTCCGATGACGAACGCCTGGAAGATCTGAACGAGAAGCCGAATTTCCAGAAAGCTTCTCCGTCACGGAAGTATGAGGACATACAACTCCCTTACTCCCTAGGTTTGATTCCAGCTCCAATTGCGCAATGGTTACGGGACTATCAAGTCCACGGGGTTGAATTTCTACATGAATTATTCGTTTACCAAAAAGGGGGGATTCTTGGGGATGACATGGGTCTAGGAAAAACAGTGCAGGTTATAGCATTTTTAACTGCTGCGTATGGGAAAACAGGCGACGAGCGAGATGCCAAACGTATGCGAAAGATGAGGCGTAGGGGAGACGGCGTTTGGTATCCTAGAACTCTAATTGTTTGTCCTGGGACGCTGTTGCAAAACTGGAGATCGGAATTGGATAGATGGGGGTGGTGGCACATGGAGACATATCATGGTGCTGGAAAGGAAGCAGCTTTGCAATCTGCCGCCTCCGGACGAGTGGAGATCATGCTCACTACCTACAAAACATACGTGCTCAATAAAGATGCTATTAACATGGTTGAATGGGACTGCGTTGTAGCGGATGAGTGCCACATTATCAAGGAGAGGAAGTCGGAAACTGCGCAAGCGATGAACGAAATTAACGCTCTTTGCCGGATTGGCCTTACAGGCACTGCCATCCAGAACAAATACGAAGAGCTTTGGACATTGCTCAACTGGACCAATCCCGGAAAATTTGGCCCAGTGTCCACCTGGAAATCCACAATTTGCGTCCCGTTAAAACTAGGACAGTCTCATGATGCAACTGTATACCAACTAAGCAAAGCAAGGAAAACTGCGCGGAAGCTTGTTGAGAATCTCCTGCCCAATTTCTTTCTTAGGCGCATGAAAACGCTCATCGCAGACCAATTACCGAAGAAGAGTGATCGTGTTGTATTCTGCCCGCTCACGCCGACCCAGGCTGAGGCATATGAGAGGGTTTTGGACAGTGATATAGTTGACTATATTAGAACTTCCTCCGACCCTTGCAGCTGCGGATCAGGCAAGAAAGCCGGCTGGTGCTGTCGTATGCACTTACCCCAAGGGGGCAAATGGCAAAGCTATGTCTTCCCGGCAATTTCAAACTTGCAAAAACTCAGCAACCACCTCGCCATTCTTATCCCGCAATCACAAGACTCGCCAGAGAAGCAAGACAAAGACCTGGAGATGCTACAGATCGCCCTGCCGGATCAGTGGCGACAGTTATATGCTACAAGGGATTCGATCCTTAACTATGCAAACCACGAGTTTTGCGGAAAGTGGAAGGTGTTGAAGAAGCTTCTCAGATGGTGGCATAGTAATGGAGACAAGGTTCTTGTCTTTTCCCATAGCGTGCGGCTTCTTAAGATGCTTCAGATGCTTTTCAAGCATACTAGCTATAACGTCAGTTATTTGGACGGTGCTATGAGCTACGACGACAGAACCAAGGCCGTGGACAGTTTTAATGCCGATCCTCGAGAATTTGTGTTCCTAATCTCTACCCGGGCTGGAGGAGTAGGGCTAAATATCACGTCTGCCAATAAAGTTGTCGTCGTCGATCCGAATTGGAATCCTGCATACGACCTTCAGGCACAGGACCGGGCATACCGTATTGGGCAATCTAGGGATGTGGAGGTGTTCCGGTTGGTGTCTGCGGGGACGATCGAAGAAATTGTTTATGCCCGTCAAATATATAAACAGCAACAGGCGAACATCGGGTACACGGCCAGCACCGAACGGCGGTACTTCAAAGGAGTCCAAGAGAAGAAGGACAGAAAGGGCGAAATATTTGGCCTCTCCAATATGTTTCAGTACCAAGGCGACAATATTGTCTTGAGAGATATCGTGAATAAGACAAACGTGGCGGAAAGCAAGGTGGGCGTGAAAATCGTCGATCTCGAGTTGGAGGACAGCAAGGATGGGCTTGATGAACAGCCCTTCCCTACGCCCAAAGGTGAGGAGGACGGTGGCGCAATGAGCCAGCTGGCCGCCATGATCCGAGGCGAGGCTACCGCAGCGGATGACACTACCAAAAAAGTTGTCCCAGCTAAACATGACCCAATCCAAGCGATCCTGGTTGGAGCGGGCGTTGAATATACGCATGAGAACTCTGAAGTTATTGGATCGTCAAAGATTGAAGAACGCCTCAGTCGTCGTGCTGAGATGGCAATTGATGGTACCAGCTTTGGTGAGAAGCAGGTTTTCCAAGCGTCGCAGGACGACGTCTCTTTAGGCTTTTCCATGAACCATGGCGGAAAGCGCGTTTCGTTTAAATATCACCCTCCAGAGGATGTCAAGAGACGCCAGTTTTGCAGCATGTCTAAGCGATTTGGATTTGAGAACCCGATCGAGTTTGCTCTGGTTGTTGAGGGCATGACGCAGGCACAGAGGAGAAGTTATTTGGCTAGGTGGTATCGAGAGCGACAGGCTGCGCTTTTGAGCGGGGTGAATACGCCGGTCAAGGATGACGATGTGGTTCTGCAGCAGAATATACCGCAGCATGAATCTCCAGGTTGATAATGGTTTATTGTTTGTGATTCTAGCATCACTTCTATAAGCTATTTTTTAATGATACATGGTATCATTGTCTGGAAACCATTCGTTCTTGTGCATGGTGCATGCCATCAACACCATAAGCTATTGCCGTCGGGGATGAGTGGTCTTACAGGCTAGTATGCCATAAGCTACCTATGATCTACCAGAAACTTGACCTTCCTCTCACTGAAACAAACAGACTTTCGAGTCGGTTTATCGCCCTGCCCGAGTCTACATAGGCGGACAGCTATACTAATGATATAGCCAGAGATGACTTATGACTTACGGTTTCGAAACTCAGGTACACCTAGGCCACTGTACCGACTGGCTGTACCTACGCGGCGTGTCACCGAAGGTTTCAAGACGGCTGCTACGAAGTTTACAGCCGCCGCTGCTTCACGGCATTTCCGCCTATGCGGTCAAATTCTCCTCATTAATGCTTACATTTCTTAGCCAATCTTGCTTTACGAAAGTGAGCACGGCATTAGGTGTGGAGGGAAGAAACTCTGCGCAAAAGTAAATCGCTGCCATTTAGATGGGCGACAATGTAAACAAAAGACGCCCCAGCTCCACGCTTTGAAAATTGAATAGTAATAATAAAAAAGTAACACAAAGGCGTCCGTTGTACGTTGAATCATACAAGCAATTTGTGTAACGAAAGTTCCCTGACCAGTGGGTCAAAACCAAGAAAGTGTCCATAAGGCCGGTAGATTAGGCCATTTCTCCTGCCACTTGGCAAGTATCTCAGGAACCTTATCATCGAAAGATCTCCTAGCTTCACCCGTGCCCTGATCCCAACCATTCGTCCCATTAATCTTCCGTTCCTCATCGGCGGCACTGTTCAGCCTATCAGCCAGGTCAAGAATCGCCTTGGAACCAACCAACGCCTCCTCGTGATTATCACGAATATCGACATTGAATACGTGCACCGGGCGATTCAAGGGAGCACCGCGGTTCATCAAATCATCAACAACAGCATCCCAACATCTCTCCTCGCAGGTAATGATAGCATCGACCAAGCCGCCCTCCGTGCCCAGCGCACCCTTATCCCCCCTCGACACATGATCCAGCCGTGGCATTCCAGGTATCCATTCCTGGAACCGTTCCGGACCCCATTTCACGCCTTTGTTTCGTTCGAGCATGGGTAGGACGCCATTGTTGCGGTACAGCCTCGGGTCTTTCTGCATCAGTTCGTCGTATATTTGAGCGTAAGATACGGTGTTGAAGTTATAGACATTGGGTTGCGTGATGGATGGGCCTGGGAGTCGGACTAGAGATCCCGTGCCAAATGAGATTACTGGATACGAGGAAGGGGGTGCGGATAGGCGGTTATGTGCCTCCATCGACCGATTTTGGTTGGCCGCGCATACTGTGCAGAATTTAAGTTTATAGGATGTAGATGACGGGTGAGGTGGGGGTGGTGTAGGTGATTCATCGGCCGTGCCGTCCAGTCCTGTCGAAGGCGTTGAGGCAGAAGGCTCCTGGGGCGGAGGGGGCGGTGGGGGAGGAGGTGGAATTGGAGTCGTTGTTCGAGCAAGTCGAGGGTCTGTACTCATGTTGATGGCTTATTTCCCTGTTATTGCGTGGTCTACTAATCTACTGGGCCGTATGGTAAAGTCTAACAGAGTTGTCGGGAGCTCAGGTTGGGACGGCAGAAATTTATATAAAATCTTGTCGGAAGAAATCGCGAAATCAGGGAGGGTGGAAAGTCCGATCACTAATGAGATGAACTCGCTAGGAGATTTTGCAGTCAGCAATGTGATTCAACGTATTCCAGCTAATTCAAAAGGTAGGCATGCCGAATTTCAATGTTGGGGATTCAGTTGGTATGTATATTTTGCGTATTTTAAGTGTCTCCTCATGTGAGAATAGGACAGCTCCAATAAAAAGGATCATCATTTTGAGAGAGGCATGATGTGCAACATTCATAGAATAGAAAATAGAAAAGTGCGTAGTATACCTTAATAGAATTTCTCATCCTCCATAGACTGTTGGCTGACTGCGAGGTGTCCTAAGAGAATCCTGTCTCTTTGTGCTGGTTAGAAGTGTTGAAACTTGGGGAGAGGTGAGATTGTGGTCAAAGTTGGTCGAGATTTTGTGGACGGAAGATCGCTTAGTCATCAACACCTCCTATTTAGTCACTTCCTGGGCAGCACAAAATTGATACATCACAACAAATCAAGCGTGCCTTTGTCCAGCATGTTATATTGGGCATATACAGGGGGATGGACATTGACATATGAGTATTTGGGAAACTATCGGTCTTACTACGTGATGACTGGCAATCTTTGAACTTAATGCCTGTAGTCGAAATGGAAGAGAATTTATGACTATTCTATGGATCAATCCATCTCTAGAAGAAACACCAGAATTTTCCATTCCTCGCAAGGCGAGATGCCAATGCCAACACAAATCTCCCCGTCCGAGAGAGAAAAACACTCGTGACACAGAAACCTCTTTATGTGGAACTTTACCCCTTCATGGATAATTTCCACCTAGCGACACTCCTCGACAGACCAATACCTGGCATTTTTAGTCCAGGTTAAGAACTATATAGAAGGAGATAACAGGCGATCTTCGACATTCTCTAGAAAAAGTGGAAGCAGCAGACAACACCACTCTAATTTATTGATCATATGCTTTCCTCTCGCTTTCCGGTACGATCTAATTCTATAGACGAGTATTTATACAGGAGCACGGAGCTAATCTGACTTTGCATTCCGTCGCCTCCAACGGATCCGCGCGGGTTTTATAGGGCCCGAAAATAGGGACGAATAGTCCGTACTAGGCACGCCCGTCTTTCCCTCTATGTTGGAAAATTGCATGTGGCGCACCATGGTTGCCACAATCACCGTGAGGTTGAGATATGCAAACTTCTCCCCGATACAGCGGTGGCGCCCAGCTCCGAAGGGGAGATATGGACTGGAGGTGCCTTTTGAAATAGTGCCGTACCCATAATCGACCATGTCTTCTTTCTCTTCTAATTTAGGCTCCTGGGTTTCCCACCGATGGGGATCCCATACCATAGCGTTGGGGAAATATTCATCGCTTAGGGCCGTGACGCCTGGCGCGGAGAGCACGATATCTGAGCGCGGGATCACATAGGGTGTACCGGGGACCGGCAGTGGGTTCTTAACCTTGCGTAGGAGGGAATGGATAGATGTGTGGAGACGGAGGGTCTCCTTGATCACATTCTGGTGTAACGGGAGGCGGTCAAGGTCTTTGTATTGGAGGGGAGCCAGACTGCCATTGGGACCAGTTTGTGGCAGGTTGGATAGCTGCTCTTGGTAGAGCTTCTCGACGACTGTGGGCTCGGAGGCTAAGCGCAACATTATCCAAGTGCTGATTGAGGCTGAAGAATGCTGGCCGGCCATCAGCAGAGTGATCATGATATTCGCAATCTCCTTGTCTGGCAACTTCTGGCCGTTCTTGTAAGTGCACTGCATCAGATTCCCAATCATATCCAGCACCTGTGGAGCGTCGCTGGTGGTCCCTGCGAGTCGCCGCTTGTCAATGATGTCGATGTAAATGGCATGCATGCGGGCATGGGCGGCGTCGCGCTTCTTGTTATGGGGCAAGGGGGCCCAGGGGAACATGAAATTAATCGGGGTAAATCCCTTGTCCAGATCGTGGTAGAGAGCGGCAAACTCAGTTGTGAGTTTGGACCGCACCTCTTCTCCCTGGAGAGCACTCCCCGCGGTGAATATAGTGATCTCTGCCATGGCGGCTGCAATGTCCACCTCCCCCGAGGCCCCGAGGAAATTCGCTGAGGCGTCGAGGTAGTCTCTGACCTCCTTCTCGATCAACGGCACATGGGATTCTAGCGCCGCTTGGGTGAGACCATACTTGATGAACTTCTTCTGCTCTATGAGCTTGGAATTTGGACAGTCGTAGACCACATCCGGTCCGAACACCGGAGTGGTCAAGGGACTGTACACCTCCTCTGCATTCACGTCTTTCAGCTTCCCATTGAGAATGAACTCGTTGCCCTTTACGCCTAGGTAGACGGTGGTACGACGTCCTAGAAGCACAAAGGTGAAGATGTCGCCGTGCTAGATCAATCGCAGTGCTTCCCATTAGCCACAATCACACGGTAGGACTACTGAGAGGCGGATAGCTTGCATTCTTGCTTACCTTCTGGCGACAAGAGAAGAAAAACTTGTACGGGTCGATTCCATAGCAGATTGTGCTTCCCAGAAAGGGGATCCAGTGGAAGACCAATGGTGGCCTAGTCGTATTCAGGAGGCGAAAGGCCAGTTGGTAGACAAGATTGAGCGCGACCGCTGCTGTAAAAGCCAGCACCGCATAGGTCCCAATAGTAGACCAGGACATGGTGAAAGGTTGAAGGCAAACTGGATTAAAAAACCATGAGTACTGATTACAAAAAGAGGAAGCACCAGTGGCCCAAAGAGAAAATAAGATAGATATCCATTATATCTATGCTTATAGACGAAGGTAGGGGTAGAAATAAAGTTTAGGGCCCTTTCAGCTGGTCGGCGAGTTTCATACCCGAGTGACTAGATATGACCTGACTGAGGCTGACCCTCACCAGTCTGCTAGCCCCGCGTCAAGAAAATAAACAATAAATAAATAACTAAAAAAGAAAAATAATGATAAAAAAACAGGATTTTATCCCCTAAGAACGGTATTAAGCGTCTTCATTGGAAACCCGTTCGACTTGGAGGTCACAATATGACGTTCATGGAGGCAAATTCGGCTTCGTGAAGAATCAAACCAGCGGCTTCCAGCCCGTTTTTATATATCTAAGCATAAGATTCTTGAACGAGCGTAGGCGTAGGAATAACGAGGTTCCTTTCTTAAATAATGCGCGCGTCATCGCAATGTTCAATGTTAGATTTGGTGCAGGAGAAGTTGTATAAGGTTCAATGGACGAGAATGCAAGTACTATGTATACTTGCCTGCTCAGCGTCGACACCGCTCCCATGCTCTTCCAAATATAGCAAGGTGTACCTAGCCAGTTAGATGTGTCCTGTATTTTTCAGAAGAAGGGCCTGTTTCAACCATTCGTACCAAGCTTGTCAGAAGTTCCACCCTTTGGAGTCGCGTGTGAAAATTCAGAATATTGCTAGCTTCAATCACCTTTCTTACCCATAAAAGCCATCACAGATAGGAAGTCCCGTTCACTTGCATCAATACTCCTTCCTATTGAAATCCGTTCGCTGTTTTTTGGAGTATTCACTTCCCCTGGTTGTCACCGCGCGCTTGAATTCAACATTTCCAAGCTGTATTTTCAGATTCATGTTTGGAAACATTCTTCCGTTACATGTTGAATCTCGTACACGTTCTGTTGAAGACGTAACGGAATGTCTTTAGCTGCTCTGGCTGCGTTTTATCAATTATATCATATTTCGCGCTGCTCGTCTCCCAGGATATGGTTTCGTTCGAGAAATTCCCAATCTTGAGTTCTCTACCTCAGCTGTCACTGTTGCCTTCCAGAATTTCAGGGGCTGGTAGTCGAACAGGCGTATGAAAGAAGAGACATCATTGATCTTCCCACGTAATGATCCACTTAACATGAAATCCATTTTCTCTTAGGGGGAAAGGGGCCCCCTCCTACGTTGTAGTTTGTGTGAGGTGCATGGAAGTTCCATCTGCTCTTCAACCACGTAGAGCGGGGTGGGGTATGGTATGGAGAACGCCTGCGCTATTCTGCTCGTTGAGTCTGGGATTCACACACTTTGCACGCCTCAATTGGAGTTGGTAACCAACTCGAGGATGAGGATGAGGATGAGTTGGTTCAATGGGTTCAAAGGATTGAGAGAGTGTCTTACGTAAGAATCTTTATTCGGAGCCAATTCTCTGGGCCTCGGTAAATGCTCATCAGCAGATGGGTAGGTGTCTGCAACACTTCCTGTGGCCCAGACAGTACGAGATACTGTTGGATTCATCAGTGTGAGGTACTCCATATAGTGTGGCGGCTCGAACATCTATGAAATCCGTATTCTTCTATGTATTTAAATGTTATGCAGGCAGCAGGGCACACTACCGAGGCCCATGCCTAGTATCCTCGGATAGCGGGTCATGTTGAACTTGACCTGTATATGTATAACCCACCACCCAGCCTTTTGCAGCACTTTTACAGCAATCTGAAAGTCCTTAGATGTTTTACTTAGTAGACAAATTCTACGGCGGAGAAACCAGGAATATTTATTAGCAACCAACCCCAAGATGGAGCCATCCAGCGCAACAACGGGCTTCTTCCAGGCCCAGCCAACTATTCTGCCTCAATATTATGAAGATGCTGCTTTTCGGCGTATCATCTCCCTGTATCTTCCGTCACCTTTACCCTCCAGCATAGATGAAGATCTTTCTCGATTTTCCCGTCTTGTGCTGTCAAGATCTCATATGGCCTATACGGCAGAAGCAGAGCGCAACCAGCCGTACCTTCGCCCTCTTTCTACGTTTGGTGTAGAGAATAATCAGGACCCTCTAGTCACGAGTGAGGGGTGGCGAAAATTACAAGACCGAGGGATCGAGGAAGGGATGGTGGCACTAGCATATGCCGACGCTCAATCACACAATGGCGGAAATACTGGCACGCAGTTGAATAACCGGGCATATCAATTCATCAAATACGCTCTTTGGACTTCTAGTGCCGCTCTGGTTACATGCCCATCTGCTATGACCGATGGCGCCGCTAAAATGCTCGGACGGCATCTGAACGGTCCAGATGGTGCTATATTCACAGAGGCGAGAAAAAGATTGATTAGTCGAGATCCCAGTTTTGCATGGACTAGCGGACAATGGATGACAGAACGTAAGGGAGGCAGCGACGTTCGTGGAACGGAGACTGTGGGTAGGAAACTCTCTGTAGAAGAGCAAAATGCGAGTAAAGGGGTTGATGAACTTGGATATCCTCTTGGACCATGGCAGCTCGACGGTTTCAAGTGGTTTTCCTCCGCTACCGACGCCAATATGGCGATCATGCTTGCCAAAACAGGACCAAATGGCCAAATTAGCACTTTCTACGCTCCCTTGCGCAGAAAAGTTCCGGGTGGAGCCGAAGGCGAAACGGAGCTTAACGGAGTGAGAATTCAGCGCTTGAAAAATAAACTCGGCACGAAAACTCTCCCAACTGCGGAACTGGAACTGAAGGGAATGAGGGGCTATTTGATTGGCAAAGAAGGGGACGGCGTGAGGGAAATTTCAACCCTCCTCAATATCACCAGGGTTCATAATATGGCTGGAGCGGTGGGTGGATGGGCGAGGGGGTTGGCAATCTCGAGAGCTTATGCGAAGGTGAGGGTCGCTCGCGGTAAACTCCTCACAGAGATGCCCGCACATGTAAGAGCACTTGCCCGAGACCATGTCATGTACAGGGGCCATCTCAACCTTCTCCATTTCGTCGCCTCGCTACTGGGAATTTCTGAAGGGCAAGATAGCCGCCTCACGCAAGCCACCCAGGCTTCCATCCTCCCAACCAACGCTCAGCAATCCGGTGCTCTGCTCCGTCTCCTTACCCCAATGGGCAAAGCTCAAACGGCCCTCAGATCTATCAATGGAGTTCGTGCCTGCATGGAGAACCTAGGTGGAGTTGGGTATCTCGAGAATGAAGATCCCGTGTTAAACATTGCGAGGATTTTCCGGGACATATGCGTGCTTAGCATTTGGGAAGGAACCACTGATATCATGGCGGACGACCTGGTTCGTGTGGTAAAATCTAAGCAAGGCCCGGCGATCTTAGTAGCTGTGGGACAATGGGTCGCGAGCGCTTTGGCGATTGCGCGCAAGCATTCATTCCAAGCAGAAGCTGAGATAATCCAGAAAACATGGGCGCAATGGCTGCAATGCACCGAAACTAAAGATGCAGAACAGCTAAGGTGGGAAGGAAGAGATCTCCTTGTCGGACTCGAGAGCGTGATTTGCGGCCTGCTGCTGATTTTGGATACTGCCCGAGATAACGATCCTATCTCGAGGGAGGTTGCAAGGCGCTTCACCTTGAAGGACCAGGCCACATATAGTTCTTGGGAAGTTGAAGCTGCCTGGGATAAACGGATTGTCTTCGGTGACGAGGCCGCGGCAACCGCGAGGCTTTAATCGACTGGATCTTAAGTTTTTTCTTTTTTTTTTTTTTGTATATAGTTATTTGATTAACAATGAACCATGAACCATAAACCATGAACCATGAACCACCATGTAATTTACAATTAACATATGTACAGAGCACTTGTAGATTGAATCAACGTCGTTTGCAAGAATACTTTTTTGAAGATGATGTACGGAGTACACCTGGGCAGCAATATCCAGCTCACGTGGGAGATGCCTCGCGATATTGTGGCGGACATATTACTTGCGAAAACAGAATTTTCCCAGGCCCCCCTGAAAATTAGTAGCAAAACACCACCAAAAAATCAAAATATCCGCATTTCTCTAGAATCATTCAATATCATCCAATACACATCTTTTTCAATCAAATATCATCCAAATACACGTCTTTCTTACCTTTATCATCAAATCCACATATATCAATCAACCCTTTTTTCAATATGCCTCACAACGCCCGCTGTCCTGCTGCTTTGCAAGCCTGTACAAAGACTCCTATCCTGCGCCTCAGTCTCCCCAAACTACCTGTTCCAGAAGTTCTGGATAATGGAGAGGATCCGGTCAATGATGAGATAGAGGAGCAGATGAATGAGAAGGATATAGAGACTCAGTCTGAGAATCCTTGATATCTGCGAATCCCTACACCTGAGTCTGACATCTCATACAGATTGTATGAACGGGTGATTATCAATGAGATAAAGAATAAGAGAGATGACAAAATGATTAATGAGTAGAAAGAAGAAGAAGAATCAGAAGAATGAATCTATAATTTCTACAATCAATTCTTCTATACAGATCTCTCAAATGTCAGTGATTATATTTCCTTCTTCAGCTCTGGCAGCTTCAACTTCATTCAATATGACATTCTCAAGTGAGATAATCAATGTGATGATGATGAAATATATGATGAAAGGAATAGAAGAACTGAATTCACAATCTCATTATCATTCACATTCAGATCTGCTGTTGAATCTTCCATCAAATCCACTGTTGAATCTTCCATTGAATACACTGTTGAAATCTTCCATCAAATCTGCTGTTGAATCTTCCATCAAATCCGCCGTTGAATCTTCCATCAAATACACTGTTGAAATCTTCCATCGAATCTGCCGTTGAATCTTCCATCAAATACACTGTTGAAATCTTCCATCGAATCCGCTGTTGAAATCTTCCATCGAATCCACTGTTGAATCTTCCATCAAATCCGCCGTTGAATCTTCCATCGAATACACTGTTGAAATCTTCCATCGAATCTGCCGTTGAATCTTCCATCAAATACACTGTTGAAATCTTCCATCGAATCCACCGTTGAATCTTCCATCAAATACACTGTTGAAATCTTCCATCGAATCCACTGTTGAATCTTCCATCGAATCCACCGTTGAATCTTCCATCGAATCCACCGTTGAATCTTCCATCAAATACACTGTTGAAATCTTCCATCGAATCCACTGTTGAATCTTCCATCGAATCCACCGTTGAATCTTCCATCGAATCCACCGTTGAATCTTCCATCAAATACACTGTTGAAATCTTCCATCGAATCCACTGTTGAATCTTCCATCGAATCCACCGTTGAATCTTCCATCGAATACACTGTTGAAATCTTCCATCGAATCCACCGTTGAATCTTCCATCGAATACACTGTTGAAATCTTCCATCGAATCCACTGTTGAATCTTCCATCGAATCCACTGTTGAAATCTTCCATCGAATCCGCCGTTGAAATCTTCCATCGAATACACTGTTGAAATCTTCCATCGAATCCGCCATTGAAATCTTCCATCGAATCCGCTGTTGAATCTTCCATCGAATCCGCTGTTCCATCTCCAATTCAAAGCAGTTCAATATCTCAATTTGATGAATACTTCAATTGATTGACAAGGGAACAGTTGCTTCATATGAATATTGACAAGAGTATATTTCAAATTATAAGAGATGAGTTAAAAAGTCCATTATAACAGACAAAATTGCAGAAATTCAAATCATCTTTATTCACTATTTATAGTGATGAGAATAGATCTCATACTACTTTCACTTCTAAATTTATATTATAATGAATTATAATCTGAATCTTTCTAATTATTATAATACTATTCTATATAAGTAGATCTGAAATATTCTTTTATATCTTTTTCTCTCATGAAGTTCTCAACTGTATAATGTAAAAAAGCTTCAAAATCTTCATCAAACTGAGCATCTAACTGACTCTTCAATTCTGATAAGATATCTGATATGATCTTTGACTTTACATCACATATTGAACAGAGTTCTCTAACAGTTTCAAAACAGCAAAGATTTCATTGAATTCAATATACAGTAGTCAGATAATAATCAATGCTTCACATGATCTCAGCAGGCATATAACCATCCTTAAGAAGGTGTACAATCTCATTGGTGGTGAAATCACAGAGTTGAGGTGGCATATTGATGATAAAGGTAAGAAAGACGTGTATTTGGATGATATTTGATTGAAAAAGACGCGTATTGGATGATATTGAATGATTCTAGAGAAATGCAGATATTTTGATTTTTTGGTGGTGTTTTGCTACTAATTTTCAGGGGGGCCTGGGAAAATTCTGTTTTCGCAAGTAATATGTCCGCCACAATAGATAAGGAGCGATAACAAACACTCCGCCATGGACTGGAACAGTGCAAATCAAATTTCCTACTATCCGGTGCGATACTACAATCTCAATCGAAAAGCACCATAGAGTGGTATTTCTACGATGGCATCGAGTGGTGATAATCTAAATGGGGCTACATCCGCCTCATTTCGTCCCGCGTTGCTCGTGGTTGATATGCAAGAAGACTTTTGCCCGCCCGTGAGTCCGCTCCTATTTAGTAAACTATCCAGCCCCCCGCGCATATTAGAACATCATCCAAGACTCCCATATACGCTTTGATAAGCACTATCTCTAACATAACCCCCCACCACTTTTCCAATCCACAGAATGGCACTTTAGCCATCCAAGGCGGCCGCACCCTCGCTCCAGTCATCAACTCCCTCCTCTCCCTCCCAGGCTTCGCCGTCAAAATCTCCACACAAGACTTCCACCCGACATCCCATATATCCTTCGCCGCCAATCAACCGGGCCCCAACAACATCCCATTCCAATCTACCACGACCCTAACAAACCCCGCCACAGGCCGGGAGACAGAGACAAAGCCGCAACGCCTCTGGCCGGTCCACTGCGTCGCCAACACGCCGGGCGCATGCATCATCCCCGAAATCGAAGCGGATAAGATTAGCGTGAATATCCGTAAGGGCATGGATGCGCGGATGGAGATGTATTCCGCGTTTGCAGACGCATTTGGGAATAACGACTGTGTCGAGACGGGGGGCGTGAATATGGATCTTGCTGCGGTGTTAAGGGAGCATCAGGCGTCGGATGTTTTCATTGTGGGTCTTGCGGGGGATTACTGCGTCAAGGACACGGCTGTTGATGCGGTGGATAGAGGGTTTCGTTGTTTTGTAGTGGAGGAGGGGACGAAATGTATCGACCCGGGCAAGGGGTGGGAAGCGGCCAAGCAGGAGATGGAAGATCATGGGGTGAGGATTGTGAATATTGATGGGCCGGAGGTAGGGCAAGTTAGGACATTATTACCAGTGTGCAGTTAGTTATTTATGACTTGAAATGATGGGGTTTAGGAGGGAACTGGTTGTCTTTTTGAGCAGCTGGAGTTTTCGTTGGGATTGGGTTTTTATTGTTTATTTTCTATGTTATAGCTAGCTATATACCACCATTGCAATTCATTCTGGGGGCTACTCCTGAGTCCTGAGTACGCCAAACTCCCGAGACCATCTCTATTTCTAGGAAGATGGATGATGTTGATCGTTCTAGATATGTTCTGAAGGTGAGTACTTTTTACCGGCTCAAATGTCTGGTGAGAACACAGAAATCCGAAGCAAAGCCTAGTTACATACAGCCCTAGTTACCAGCTCAAACCCTCCCATACCAGCAAGCCCACCAAGAACGTCAACGTTCAATGTGAGAGAAGGAGCTTGGGAAAACAACTTCATGTTTGCGCATTCATATCTGCCAGATGCAAAAGTTAAATAAAGCGTGGTTGCTCGGCTCGTGGCAAAAACCTTAGATATAGATAAAAGACCGAACCCCTGCAGCCGGCCCGCGAGTGGCGCCGGTGGTTAGTTAACTAGTTAACTAGTTAGTTAAGCTTCGGCGCTAATTAGTCCGGTTGTTGCAGCCCGCCGCCAGGAGAGGAGAGGATGGGACTGCGCCATAAACCGCGCATGCTTTAGAAATTTATATCATCTACAACAAGCCCGAGTGCGCAGAGGAGATAAGCGTACGGGGGGAGTTCTGTCATGTCAAACAAAAACAATCTAGCCTCGAAGCGCTGTTTATTCTAGCGCCCTTCCCCCGTCCGAATGATGCCTCACCTCAACGACCCTGCTGCCCCCGCTGCGGTTGCAGAAACGGCTGATGATGCCCGCATCACACCATTATTAACCACGACGACCACAGAACTCGTCGACGAGGAGACAGCTATTACAACACCAGCAGAGCCTCTCCCTTACTGGCTCGTCAATGTCCCGCGATCACAATGGCCGCCTGAATGTCCGGAGTATCTCCGTGATCTACCTCAGAAGTCTATAAAGTGCCTCTCGACGCCCGACGCGCAGTATGAACGGCAGAGCTGGGCGCTGGTGAAGGAAATAGTTGGTGAGTGGTTATTTTCTTTTTCTTTTATTTTTATTTTTATTTTTTTTCTTCGCTGTTTTATAAAATATATGTTTAAAAGAAAGAGATCCCGATTTCGAGAAGAGAACGAGAATGGACTAATACGCCTGGACCTAAAACACTTTAGGATCGAATCAAATACACCTTCTCCAGCGCGTGCCGTCCGAGCTGAGGAGGTATCTGGAGTACACCGCAAAGATTAAAGATAAATACGGTTCTGTTTTGAATTTCGTGGTTCAGAAGAGGCTGGGTTGGGTGGATGATTTGAAACCCCGCGGGACAAGACCATTCGACCATCCAGGTTTGTTCTTTTCCCCCTTCGATTTGGCAGAAAGAGATAGTCTACTCTTTCTGGCCTCTAGTTATATCGGCCGACTAAATAACTAATCATCCCCCTCCCCTCCTCCCAAAAACATTCTATTCTTTTGGCAACACAGACGACATCAAAATTCTCTACAACGACTGGCCATATGGGGTGGAAAAGGACATCGTCCACCTTGTCATCTGGACCAAGTTTGAACTCGAAGATGATCCTGCCACAGATGACTTAACCCCGCGCATGCGAAGGGAGATCGATGAGTTTGTTGAGAAAACGTTTCGGTCTAGAATGCCCGCCGAGAAGGTGTGAGAGAGCTAGGTAAAAAAAAAAAAAAAAAAAAAAAAAAAAAAAAAAGAACTTTCTCCCTGTTTTTGCTAACCAATCAACCGTATCATCGTGGAATAGGTTATATGGTTTAAAAACTGGAAGTCTCTCAAGTCCGTCCACGCCATCGAGCACTTCCATGTCATGCTCTACCAGGCCGATCCGGCATTTCTCCACGAGATCACCAACGGCGACGTACCCGTTACCGATGTATGAAACTGAGTTTGTCCGAGATTTTACAACTTTCTCGACCTTTTTTTCGGGTTTTTTTTTTTTTTTTTTTTTTTTTTTTTTTTTTTTTTTTTTCCCGCCTTCTATTAACGCCCACAGATAAATATTAGAAACATAGACATTTATAAACCATAGTTACCATAAACCCATAGCATAGCTATCACGAACCTCTCTTCTCTTGTCCTGGACAAATTTCAAAGCGATTCACACATATATATATATACCTTTATATATACATCTAGCCCCTATCCACCCACCAACTCCGTAACAGTAACAACCCGATACCCCCTCCTCCCCAACTCAGGCAGCACCACCCGCAACATCGGCGCCGTCCATCTCCGCCCGTCATGGCAAATGATAATACCACCGGGCCGCGCCAGGTCGAGGACGTGCCAGGCATTGACGTGCGGGAAGGGGATCTGCGCATCGTGCGGATACACGCTGCCCAGGACGAGCTTGTAGCCTAGCGCGGCCAGGAGGTGGCGCATGCGCGTGGTGAAGAAGCCGGAGCCGGGGCGGAAGTATTTTGGTGGTTTTGGTGGTGGTGATGGTTGTGGTTGTGGTGCATTCTCAGGGGGGTTTTTCGGTGTTGAAGTAGTAGTAGTAGTGGTGGTGGTGGTGTATACGGAGTTGTAGATATGCTGTATTTTGCGCTCGACGGTTTTTATCTGGGCGATGAGCTCTGCGTCGGAGAGGCGCCATGACGGCTCATCGCGCATGGCGTGGTTGGCTAATTCGTTGCCGGCGCGGAGGAGGTTGTGGAGTGTTTCTGTCTGTGTTTGCGGCGTCTCTGCTGCTTTCGCCTTGCTTGTGTTTGTCTCTGCACCTGGGATACTGTCGGTGATGTTCGAGCCGATGAGGAAGAACGTGGCGGTTGCATCGTTGGCTTTGAGGATCTGAAGGATCTCAGCGGTGTAGGGACTTGGTCCGTCATCAATTGTCAGGGCTATTAATTTGTCTCTGCTCGCTGTGTTGCTGTTGCTGTTGCTGTTGCTGTTGCTGTTGCTGATAGTTGAGGTTGAGGTTGAGGTTGAGGGGATGGGCACGAGCCACAGGATATCAGGCCAGCGGAGCTGGAAGTACTGGATTAGGGAGGTGGGGGGTTTGTAGATTAGGTATAGCAGAGCTGGAGGGATTACCACCCCTACGGTTATTAGGAGTATTATTAGTAGAGTGTACATGAGGGGCAGCGGCAAGGGTCGTGCATCTATCTACATGGATGTTATCATGTAATGGAATGTATGAATGTTGATTTCGATGAGGGACTGGTGGTCAATTAGATAATTAGCTAGCCGGGTGGCTTCAGATGACATGAGTAACCTGGTCTGCATTATTCTTTTCATTATAAATCTCGTAAAAGGCACTCATGTAACTCATGTATCATATCCAACTTGCACAGCTCTTCTATCGATCGGGGGTGGTTGTTCTGTTTATAATCTCGGAGATAGAACTGATGGCCAAAGAGAAATTGGGATTATTAATAATAATACTACAAGCGGGCCGCGTGGCCTAATGGTTAAGGCGTTGGTTTTCGGCACCAAAGATTTGTGCGTTCGAATCGCACCGTGGTCGTTTATTATATCCTTTTTTTCCATCTTTCACTTTTCTTTGATCTTGGTTCCTCGTACATTCTTTACATATCATATCTGGGAAGGTTGAATTTCTTTTCTTTTTCTTTTTTTTGGTAAGGAGTAAAGTAGGTCGTGACTAGGCCAATTGGAATTTGCAAGGAGGGTTGAATGAACCCTATCCTATCCTATGCCTTTGCGAGGGAAGCGCTGGAACAGGGGAATATCAGAGAGTCTGGTGTGAGAGTACCTAGTGATTAGGCATCGCAACTTCCCTACGATTTTATTTCCCGTCGTCCCCCTCTTCCCCGCTCGCGCCCAGTTGCAAAATCCCAGAGTGCAAGGAACACGCGTATTTGCATGTTCTGTGTGTAACTACTTAGCAGGACGTGCGCATAGTAAATGATATCGAATTGAAGGCAGGATCAGATAACAACCAGAATGGAAAATGGAGGGCCGGGGGGCGGGGGGCGGGGGAGATCTGGCATCCATAACCCTGGCAGACATGACCATAACCGAGGAGGAGGGCCAGGATCAATATCAACATCTCATCCATGTGAAACCCAGGGTGGTGGGGGACTGGGAGGGAGAGAGCGAGATGTGCAGGGTTGAGGAGGGAGGGGCGAAAAAAATATTATTATATATGTAGTTAAGTACAGTACGGAGTACAGAGTACGGAGTAACTTAACTACATTGTTAGTTACCAAGGACAGGACTGACTGACTGGACAGGACGGGGTAGTTGTTGCTTGCCGTGTGCTGGGCTTGGCGCACAAAGTCCCAACCCAGGGTTCCGTCATACCATACCACACCACACACCTGCCTGCCTGCCTAGAGCGGGAAGGGGAAGGGAAATAAATAGTTATAACTAACTTAGCCAAGTTAGTTACTTCCTACGCTCTCACTCACTCACTTCAACTCCAACCCTCTCACACCCTCCTCTCACCACGACACCCACCCACTTCTTTTTCTCCTCCTGTATACATATCAATACATACCCTGTGACGCCGTGCCCTTTGTCTGTCTGTCTGTCTGTCTGTCTGTCTGTCTGTCTGTCTGTCTGTCTGTCTGTCTGTCTACACCCTATCTGATTTCGTCTCTCCCTTGTGCTGAATCGTTGGTTGTTGGTTGTTGGTACTGTACCTAGGAGGAAGTAGCCTATCCAAGGACCACCCTTACCTCTGCTCAACCTTGCTATATTATTATTTAGTTAAAGATCCATTTCCGCTCCAGGCCCACAGCTGATTTCTTTTTCTTTTTTCTTTTTCTTTTTCTTTTTCTTTTCTTTTCTTTTTTTTTTTTTTCCACTTAAATTCACTCCGCCCTTGTTGCTATCACTCCGCACCTGAATATTCGTAGCATTCCCTCCTGAGCTTGTGATTCAACCATTAATATCCTCGATGCCTTGACCAACGGAACATCTAGCTGCTTCTTTTCTTTTCCTTTCTCTTCTTTCCCTACGCCAATTGTTCCTTTTCAGCACGACGAGAGACATTCCAAAGACGCCTAATTGAAAATTACAATAAAAATCCGAAAATATAATACGAGAAAAAAAAAGAGATATTTGCAGTGGAAAGACTGCCGACATGCTCCCAAAGATCCCCTTGGTCCTCCAGCAGGGCCACCAACAGAGCCGCTCAAGGTCCTCCAAGAATAGTGCGTCACGAACTTCCTGAAGTCTATATAAATTGCGACTGGTTTTATTTCACCTTATAACTACCCGGGATCTCTTGTGGAATTATAGCTTCTACGGCCTGAAAAATGGTTTGCTAATCACCTACTCTTGTTTTGCACCTTTTGTGGCCTATATAGATAGTGTTTCGTCCTTCGATGAGTCGAGCGGCGCATCTTCGCCCAGTGCAGAGGATGAGACGGTGGTAGAACCCGAGCAGGGGAATGGTGAGTCCCATTCCAGAGTAATTTTATATTTGTGGCCTCCAGAGTCTTTCCCCCCCCCCCCCCCCCCCCTCCTCCCTCTATCATTTATCTACCTACCCCTCAGCAGGATGTGCAGTTTGATATATCAAGGCTTAGATACTAATCGTTTTATTTGCATGGTCAATTTTTTTAGTCCTCACTCATATTATTTCGCAATTGCGGCCGGGTGCGGACCTGGGCAGAGTTACGCTTCCCACATTCATACTGGAACCCCGATCAATGCTGGAACGGATCACAAAGTGCGTTGGGGAATTCCATTGATGGGTTACACTTCGCAGATGAAGAACAAGCAATTGGCTAACGGAAATCAAATCATGAACAGCTTCATGGCCCACCCCGAAACGCTCCTTCCAATGCCGGCAATTGACGACCCTGTCCAACGATTCGTGTCCGTGGTTAAGTTCTACCTCAGTGGATGGCATATAAGACCTTTGTACGTCTTGAAAATGAGATTTAAAGGGATCTCTTTCAACAGCAAAATTGTCGTGACTAACAAGTTCCTGTGTGGTGGGCCATTGATGCTAGGGGTGTTAAAAAGCCATTGAATCCGATCCTGGGTGAAACTTTTACATGTTATTGGGATTACGAGGATGGCACCCGCAGCTACTACATTTCCGAACAAACTTCCCACCATCCTCCCAAGTCGAGCTACTTTTTCATGGCCCCCGAACATCATATACGAATCGACGGGACGCTGAAACCGCGCAGTAAATTTCTGGGAAATTCAGCTGCAAGCATGATGGAAGGAATAGCAATACTGTCCTTCCTGAATAGGGGCGAACCTGGAAAGGGTGAAAGATAGTATGTTGAAATGTTGAAAATTCTGACGATTATCTATCTATGCCTTTGTTCTGCTAACCCGTTAATTTTTGTAGTATCGTGACTCAACCGAATATGTATGCTCGAGGTATCCTATGGGGAAAGATGAAGTATGAACTCGGAGATCATAGCTACGTAAGATGTCCCGAGAACAATTTGTCGGCGGATATAGAGTTCAGAACCAAAGGTTATTTTTCTGGAACCTACAATGCCATCGGGGGCGCCATAAAAGATGACAAAACAGGAGAGATACTCTATGAGCTATCAGGGCTTTGGAACGGTGAGATGTTCATAAAAAATGTTGCTGTATGTGCTTACAGGCATACATCTATTTCCCTCTCCCCTTGTTTTCTCACGCTGTTGTGGCTAACGGAACACACAGACTGGACAAAAGGAGCTTCTTTTCAATGCGACAAATGCAAAGCACACGCCTCCTCTCGTCAGACCAATAGAAGAGCAGGAGCCTCGTGAATCGCAGAGACTTTGGAGTAGTACAGTCCAAGCGCTAATTGCTCGGAACCATGATCTTGCCACGGAAGAGAAAACCAAAGTTGAAGATAGGCAGCGGCTTGAGGCATCAAAGAGGGTGGAAGATGGAGTCGAATGGCGGCCCAAACTTTTCCGTGTAGTTCAAGGCGGGCCGGGGAGACCTGAGGAAGGTGAAGAGGATCTTGAGTGGATTCTGAATGCGAAAATGTAGGTTGAAAATTATTCGCCAATGGAATCCGTTTTCCTATTGCCTTTTAATCCTAACCTTCTTTACCCAACAGAGACGCAAACAATCCGGCGGTCGCCGTGAAACAAATCCTTTGTGTTGCAGCAATTCTCCCGGGCCAAAAGCCTTCCTGTCAATTCGAGATACCACCCCATCCCTCATCACGATCAAATAACGTAGAAGCTGGCGCCTCTTCTGATCAACTGGCAACCACCGCCACCACGAAAGCTCCAATCGCCCAACAACATAATAATAATGACAATCTCATAGACTTTACCGAGGGTAGCAACGACGGGCACCTTAATGAGAACAAGATGCTAAAGCCAGGAAACTCAGCCGGCGCCATGGATATCTTGGGTGGGGATGGCCAAGGAGATGCCCCCGCCCAAGCTTCCGCTTCCGCAGGTTACAACCCCCAAGACATGTCAAATATCATGACGCCGCTGCAGGCCACAAAAAGCACAACACAAACACGATCCCTGAATGGGCGGGATTCCACCGCTTCAGACGATGACGATTTCGTCGACGCGCAAAGTTAAAGAATGGAAAGAAAGGAGGCCGATTTCTTCTTCCCCTCCCTAGATCTGGCTTTGCGCTGCGCTTTTCTCAGCCTGATTCCTCGCCCTAATATATATACAACTTTGCTTGAACCATCTCATTCACGGCGCCAACTTCTTCATTAATTAACTAAAAGCGTGTCCATTGGCCTACACTACAACTGGCACATCGCAAGTTTCATGCGTGGAAACCCGGGCTAAACATCACTGCCAGCCCATTCGTCCCCTCCGAAAATATTCTTAACAATACACCACCAACCGGCCGACCTAATTTGTTTCTTGCGGAAAGAAAAATAAAATAAAATTGAAGGGGGGAGACAAAAAAGAACCTATATGAGTCAGCGACGTTGGGGCTGGGACGAACGTCTGGAGTTTTAATGGCCTGGCTTAACATGTTTACATTTCATTTCCCTTCCTTCTTTTAAGGGAAGGAAGAAAAAAGGAATCGAACGAAAAGTAAAAAAAAAAAGCCAAAGAAAAACAACTCAGGGATGAGAGGAGGAATCGAACATATATCCTCTAACTGTACTGGCCTCGCCTCCGAGCTCAACCACCACTACCACCCCTCCCCTACCAAACATTGTTATTCTTTGGGATTTTTTTTTTTTTCTTTTCGCTTTCTTTCTTTCATGATGGATGACGATGACGATTATTGTTTATTTGTTTACTGTTTATCCTTACTCTTATCAGCATTGGCATTGGCATTGGGCACCGGTATCGTCCAAAACAAAATCATGAACCCCCACTTTTTTTTCGAATACCTAAGGAGGAAAAAATCACCGTTTTCATCAATTAGGAGATTTTAGGAACCTTCTCTTATGTATTGAGGAGGATGTTTATTCTCACGGCTTTTTATAACCACTTTTCAACAATTTGTGGTTGTTTTTCACCTCTACCTAGTTAGGTATGGATTTAATTACTTTTTGCATTATTTTCAGTTGGTTATCCATATGCATATATTTATATATAGAATATTATTTTTATCATAAGAGAGAATTGACGATAGGATATGACTCGGCATTGCCTATTGGAAGTAAGTTAGGTGGTAGAAACTCAAGGGTATTATTACTTTACACTATAGAGGAGCACTCTTTTAACAAGGAGGTAGAAAGAAAACAATAAGCGATCCGTCGAGAAACTCCAAGAAAATAACTCCATGCCAAATCCATCCAGCCACACTATCCACAGCAGATACAAAAAGAAAATACTCTAAATGTAGACAATAAGAGACGAAGGGGGAATAGGAAAGAAAAAAAAATAAAAATAAAAATACACCAACAAAAATAACAGCCTAGAAATCGCAATCACAAGAAAAGAAAAGAGACAAAAAAAGGGAAAAAGAGGTCCGCGCCCAAGGGGAGACTCAAGCATACAACTCCCCCGGTATGCCTAGCGCTCTCTCCATATCCCTCCTCCGACTCCACCTATCCCCACTACTCCCCGCCCCATCCCTATCCTCCTGCTCCGCCTCCATCATCTCCTTCTCCTCCTCAATCTCCCTCTCCACATCCTCCCGCAAACCCATAATATCCGGCGGGATATGGCTCAGCTGCACGCTCGGCGCGCCTTTGATGTAGCGCAGCTGCTCCAGCACCGCCTGCGTCACCGACTCCAGGTACGCCTTCGAGTTCCGGTTCTCCAGCCGGCGCATATCCGACAGCGGCGGGAAGAGCGAGCAGTCCGGCTTGAAGTGGGTGCGGAAGGGCAGCGAGTCCGGCAGGCGCGGGTTGATGTCCTGCGCGCCGTCGATGCAGATGGCCGTCTCGTACGCCCAGAGGCGCGACACGTTGCGCGGCGTATACCCACCGCCGCCCACGACCAGCGTCGGCAGGCCGAAGCTCTTGGTGTATGCGACGCAGGCGCCGTGGGCGCGGATGTTCAGGTTGAAGCAGCCCAGCCGGTCGCAGCCGAGGCTGTCGGCGCCGCATTGGAGGACGATCGCGCCGGGCTGGTAGGTGCGGATGGCTGGGCCGACGATGGTTTTGAAGAGCGAGACGTACTCGCCGTCCTCTATGCCGTCGTGCAGAGGCACGTTGAGCGCGTGGTGCGCGCCGGGGTTGAGCGGGTTGGAGGGCCCCGTGTCGTCCAGGCCGCCGGTGCCGGGGAAGAAGTTGTCCTTGTCGTACTTGTGGAAGGAGACGGTGAGGACACGGTCGGTGGACCAGAAGGCCTGCTCGACGCCGTCGCCGTGGTGCACGTCGATGTCGATGTACATGACACGCGGGTGCACGCGGAGCAGCTGCAGGATGCCCAGGACGATGTCGTTGATGTAGCAGAAGCCGCTGGCTTCGGATTTCTTGGCGTGGTGCAGGCCGCCGGACCAGTTGATGGCGATTTCGGACTGGTTGTTGCAGAGCTTGCGCGCGGCGTCGAGAGTGCCGCCGGCGTAGTGGGAGCAGTAGTTGAAGAGCCCGTCGAAGACGGGGCAGTCGTCGCCAAAGTTGAAGCCGGCCATGCGGTCGAGGAGAGAGCTCTCTTCCATGTCGGAGGGGATGACTGATTGGAGAAAATCTAGATACTCCCGGGTGTGAAATTCGGCCATCTCCTCATATGTGGCCTCGCGCGTCTTGTACAGGTCCATGGCGTGGTGCATGCCGTAGGCCATGACTATCTGCTTGGTGAGGGTGAGTCGCCATGGTTTCATCGGATGCGACGAGCCGAAATGGTGCGGCTCGACGTCCGGGTTTGCGTGCCATGATACCGTGTATCCCTTTGGCCTCTTGAAGCCTTCATTCTCCACTTCACGCGACGTCTTGCGGTCTAATGATAGCGATGTTTGGGCCACCGCTGGCGAGGCATATTCCTGGACAATCGTGGATCTGGCCATGGGAAAGAAAGGGAAGAATTGCAACAGGATCAGAGGAATTGGGGGGTTCTCAGGTTTCGGGATCTTCTCATGATCGAACCCCGCTGATGTCTGCAAACCGTAGCAAAAATGAAATGTGTCTCAAAACGTCAATACGCGATATCAGGGAACGTTAACAGGAGGCGCATTAATTGTTCCGTGTTGCCAGTTGGTGAAGGAGGTTGACATTGAATCGAGATCCAATCACGAGAAGAAGTTCGATATGCAGCGCCACACCACACTAGCACGAATCCAGCTAGCGTACCAACCCTGCTGTGGCGAATTAGACTCTGGTCGGGCCGGAATTACGGTCCGTGCACACACGTGATCAGACTAGTCCTCTTTCGGCAGGTCTCGATTTCTCGACGCTTTCTTGCGCATCGTCATCATGTTTGCAATCTGCTTCCAAGCTTGCTACTTTTCACCTCACCACCACTGATTCCCGTCTCGCCGCCAACGCGACGGGGAAATTGCATTTGTCTCTCTCAGCGGGATCAGGTTACTCCTGGAAATAGGTTTTATACCCAACGCGGCTCAACGCTTTCGTCACCTCATACTTCCCCCCTGCAGACGGCCCTTGGTGGCGTGGATCCGAGATCGTAACCATATCGACATATGGTGTAGCCTGACTTGGTGAATATGGCTCATACGGAAGATTGCTCCACCGTGCTGGAGCAGTTTATTCATGATGGTAGGTATTCTCTGGGAAGAACCTATTTTATACCTTACCTTACCCTAACTAACTGTTTAACCTGATACAGTCGCGAACTTGCCGGCGGAGATCACTCATTTGATGGAGGAGATCCAAGCTAAGGATAAAATAATGCAAGAATGCCGTGCTACGATAAATTCACGCGACGCGAGCCTACAAAAATTCATCCGGCAGAATGGTAGCCACGCGCCGAATCCCAAGGAAGAGAGTTACAGCAGAGCGATATTACAGAATTTGGACCGGAGTCAAGTCCTACAGGACGAGAAGATCCTACTAAGCGAGAAGGCATGCGTGTTACTCGATCGCCAAATCAAGAAATTGGACGTTAAGATTAGGGAACTGCAAAACGATGGAGTCCTTTCGAAAGATCCACCCATCCCTTCCCTCTTCCGAAATAAAGAACAATACCGCGAGCCACAAAAGCCAATATTCCCGGAATCTACATCCGCAGAAACATCATACGCCTCCCCCTTAAACCCCACGTCCGGAAATTCAACTCTACAATATAACCTATCCCAAAGACTAAACACCGCCGCTGGTCGTCCATCGCCAAGCGCCTCCGCTCTCGCAGCGTCTCAGACCGCCACGCGAAACTCCGCGCCGGCCACCCCTGCCTCTGCTGCTTTACATCTGCAACACCGTCATCGGGAGTCCTCCGCAGGCGCTACGGAGAACAAACGTAGACGTCTAAATGCATCGCTCGGGACACTCCCTGCAGCCTCCTCGAACCTACGGCAGTCATCCCTTGGACCCGGCACGCCCAAACCCGGTACCCCCGGGGCCTCGCGCGCAGGCAGCGCAGGACCCCGTGCCACCACAGCCGTGAAAAAGCCACCAGCAAAGAAAGTCGCCCCGCACCAACAACAGGCGCGACGAAAAACCGCCGCGGTTGGAAAATCCACAAAGCGCTCATCGAGCGGGAATGGCCGGTTGAAAACCCTTCCGGGAAATGTTTCTGTAGCCGCAGCTGCGTCGAGGAAGAAATCTCCGTCCTCTGTTACAGGGCTAGCGGAGGAGGAGGAGGATGAGTCCGTCCTGAGCAGCGCTGAGGTTTCGGAAGCGGAGAATCATCCGCCGCCGCTGAGGCGGAATGCGGGAGGCGCGGCTCGGGCGGCTGGTGGTGGGGAGTCAGAGGAGGAAGGGGACGAAGATGAGGAAGATGATGGTGGGGAGGATACGAAGACGTATTGTACGTGTCGTAGTGTTAGTCATGGGGATATGGTGGCGTGTGATAATGATGATTGTCCGTATGAGTGGTTTCATTGGAAGTGTGTGGGGTTGACGAGGGAGCCGTTGGGCACTTGGTATTGTGAGGAGTGTAGGAAGAATTTGGGGAAGTAGAGTGGAAGGGTGGAGGGTTTGCTTTTACGTATTTCTTTTGGTAATGATTCAGTTACGGCTTAGGTTGTGGGCAATATACCCAGTTACATTGGAGAATGGCAGACCCGCTTCTGCTTCTGTCACTTGTTATGGTTTGCATCTTTGCCTTTCTCGGGCATGGAGTGTATCGTAGATACATCCATAGGATGAATGATAAAAACAATAACATAAAATCAAATCCAGGGAAAGACAGCTTGTACCCTCCTGCTCTATTAAAACGTCCCCGGTGGTAAAATTTCCCTCCCAACCCGCTATCTAATCTTATGGCAGCATAATGAATAGAAGAAGCACCGGGAAAAAACAAGAAATCAAACACCGATAAAACACCGTCGCTATGCTATGCTACATATATATGTGGTATATCAAACATCAGATTTCTTTTGTGGTGAGTTGTCTCACGCTTATTTGTTCAACCATGGTGATATTCATGGCAACTATTGGTATGGGATCGTATGGGATCGTATATAAGCCGGTAATTGTTCGTGCGATATATCTCTCAATATATGCTTCACTGCAGATCGTCGGAATGTAGGAAAAAATGATGGACAAATTCGTAGACCGGGAGATAAATTTGTAGACGCAAGGGTTGAGGTTAACAGATCGGTTGAGAGATATACGAAAAAAATGAGTATTCCAAAATCCTTTTCCATGTTCAAAACGCCAAAGACTTCTTTATCCACTCGTCGAAGTATTCACAATTCTCCGCATTGACCGGTCCGCCTTCCTGGCACAGCGCAAACACAGGACATCGTCCGCAGGGAGCCTCCGTCATGCCGTTTCCGCCCAGCGTAAGGCTATCTTGATCCGTTTTATCCTGGTCCGTTTGGTCGCTGGTTTGTAAGCCCAGGTCGCGCTGCAGTGATATCTGGTTTGGTTTCTTTACGCTCTTATATGCAGCCCCATCGCGGAGAGAGATCAGCCTCCCGTCAAAGCAGAGCATCTCGAGTAGTTGGGCAATGCTAGATTCGCCCATTGTGACTGGGGTTAGGCCGGAGTTGTTGATGGCGTTGGTGATATCAGTCACGGTCGGGTATCCGTTGTAGGATGGGAGATAGGGCAGGTATTGTGGTTCCTCCTTGGCGTTATCCGGACGAATTTTTTGTCTCTTTGCAGCCTTACGTTCCGCTGCAGCGCGGTCGTACCAGCTCCTGGCGCTCACCCAGTGTTCGATCCAGCCTCCCAGCCCCCGGATGAAATCGGCATCCAAAACTCCATCTGTGAACCAGGCGCCACCAGTGACGTCTTCACTCGGCTGCAGGCCAGACAGCATGTACATTTTTCTCTGTGGATATTTGACATTGCGAACAGATTTGATGTAGTTTTTGGTTTCGAGCGATTTCAGGCAGCGGTTCACGATGGTCTGATGTAGATTTGTTCGCGATTTGATCGTCCGTGTCCAAACGCCACTGCGGCCCGTTGATTCGACCACGCTGTATATAAGACGTTCTTCGGCATTGAGGTTCTGGAGTCTTTTTTGTAGATGTTACGTTAGCCAAATGTCATCACCTGGCAAAACGACGACAGTCAAACACTTACTTCTCAGCATCTGACTGAGCGATGATTTTCCAAGCAAGGCGGTCATCACTGCCATAGAGCATACGCATCAAGCTCTGATCCACGAGTGACTGGGCGCATTTCATTAACAAGGCAAGGTCGTTATTTGGGATAACACCTAGGCTGAGCAGATCTTGCTGGTAGAACAGGTGATCCGGTGGAAAGTTGGAAAGACATCGAGCATAGAGAGCTGAAGCCAGCTCCTTATGATCTGCCATTTCAACCCCCTTCGAGGAACCACCTGCGGAGGCGGACATTTTTCAAAAGCGCGGGATGGCGGTTCTCCAGACTCGGACAGAGGAGATGAGGGATCACCGTGGAGGTTCTGAAAGAGTCATAGTCAGACAGTGATCCTCCATCCGATTTTAGGCTTCGCTGTATATGCCCAAATCTGACTGTAGAATACAAGGTGACCAGGGGACTTTCTTTTCGGGCAGAGTAGAGTGCGAGTGCTGTGGTTGTTTATGCGAGGAGTTTGGCAGTGTCTTTTTTTTATGATGTGGGGGTCGACCATATTTCCAAATCGGGTTCCAAGCTACGGTAAAGGCATTACGGTATTCAATACGGTAATCTATCGTGAGTACTTTGATTCTCATACATAATTACGTGGTATTTAAGTCACTTGGTCCCGGGATCCATTACGCTGTTATGAGGCCGTAACGACGGAGCTCGAAATTTCCAGAAACTTTCTCGTCAACAAATCCCCAGCACTTTCCCCTCATTCTGTGACATATGCAATTTCTCCCTCCCACCACCAACATTTATTTCTTCTACCTATTGGCTTCTAGTTTCTCCGTTTAGTATTTTTCAGTTGCTGTTCTACTTACCTCTAATAAAATAATGGCTGATGCTCTGAAGGCGGAAGGCAACAAGGCGTTCGCAGCGAAGGACTTCAACTTGGCTGTGTAAGTCACTAAATGCTTGTCTAGGAGCTGGCGTTATGATACACTCGACTAATATAAATTGGAGACAGTGAGAAATTCTCGGAGGCCATTGCAATTGAGCCAGAGAACCATGTTTTGTATTCCAACCGCTCTGGCGCTTATGCCTCCCTCAAGAACTTTGAGAAGGCTCTTGAAGATGCGAATAAAACGACTGAGCTCAAAGCAGACTGGGTGAAGGGTTGGGGCCGGAAGGGAGCTGCAATGCATGGACTAGGTGATCTAGGTATGCCCACAGGATCCGCTTGGCCTCTTTTGAATTATTTCCTGGACTTGCAGTTACTGACCAGCACCCAGTTGGCGCAAATGATGCATATGAGCAGGCTCTCAAGTTGGACCCTTCCAATGCGCAAGCCAAAGCTGGACTCGAATCTGTCAAACGTGCAATTGATGCAGAAGCAAGAGCGGATGGCCTAGGCGGAGACCCTACCGGTGGCCTTGGAAGCATGTTTAGTGACCCCCAACTCATCACCAAACTTGCCTCGAACCCTAAAACCTCCTCCCTCTTGGCCGATCCGGAATTCATGGCAAAGCTTCAACGACTGAAGCAAAATCCAGCGAATATCGGAGAAGAGATGCGTGATCCTAGATTCCTCCAGGTAATGAGTGTATTGCTTGGTATTGACATGTCGTTTGCTCCTCCTCCCGAGTCTGGAGGTGTCACAAGGGAAGCAGAGGAGGATGTTAAAATGCCCGATGCGCCACAACCCAAGAAAGCTCCCGAGCCCGAACCAGAACCTGAGCCCGAAGACGAGGAAGCGATTGCGAAACGAAAGGCCAAGGAAGCCGGTGATAAAGAAAAGCAGCTTGGTACAGAATTTTACAAGAAACGGCAATTCGACGATGCGATTGAACACTATAGCAAAGCATGGGAGCTGAATAAGGACATCACATACCTTACCAATATTGGTGCTGCCAAATTTGAGAAGGGCGACTATCAAGGAGCGATTGAAATTTGCGAGAAGGCAGTTACTGAGGGAAGAGAAATGCTGGCCGATTTTAAGATCATTGCAAAGTAAGCCGAAATCCACAACACTACCCTAGAGATCCTAGTGAACCTCACTAATAGAGATGGAATAGAGCCTTCGGAAGAATTGGTACCTCTTACGAGAAGATGGGAGATCTGGCCAAAGCAATCGTCAATTACCAGAAGTCTTTAACAGAACACCGTACCCCAGATATCTTGACCAAACTTCGAAATGCTGAAAAAGCCAAAATCAAGGCTGAAAAAGAGTCTTACATTAACCCCGAAGAAGCCGAAAAGGCAAGAGAGCTCGGTAACCAAAAGTTCAAGGATGCAGACTGGCCCGCCGCCGTCGACGCCTACACTGAGATGACGAAACGGGCGCCGGAAGATCCACGGGGATATAGCAACCGTGCTGCGGCTTTGATCAAGCTCATGGCCTTCCCAGGAGCTGTTCAAGATTGCGACGAAGCGATTAAGAGAGACCCGAAATTTATCCGTGCATATTTGAGAAAAGCACAGGCTCTTTTTGCCATGAAAGAATATAACAAATGTATGGACGTGTGTGCTGAGGCCGCTGAACACGACGAAACCGGTGCCCATACCCGTGAGATTGAGCAACAGCAACAAAAAGCGCTGGAGGCTCAGTTCAGCGCTCGTGCTGGTGAGACAGAAGAAGAAACTGCAGAGAGAATTCAGCGTGACCCTGAGGTACGGTTTTTTTGCCTCTTTCCTATCATCGCCCGCGATCTGGTGCAACTCTGCTGTAAAATAATAAAAAATGGCTAAAAGGTCACTAACCATACCACTAATATATCTAGATTATGTCCATTCTTCAAGACCCCGTTATGCAAACTATACTCCAACAAGCCAAGGGCGACCCGGCTGCGCTGCAGGAGCACATGAAGAATCCTGGTGTGCGGATGAAGATCCAGAAGCTGGTGGCCGCAGGCGTCATCCGTGTTGGAAGATAGATATCGCGCGTTCCATGTCCAACCTTTAATGGTGGTGGTCAAATGCTTATAGCTTGAATGTGACCGGATACGAGATGTTATGACTGTTGTTTGTGTTTCTGTGCTTGTTTTCTTAGCAGCTGATGGGGGGAGCTGGAAGAAATTACGATCAAGCATCCAATGCAACCATTTTACCAGTGACGAGGTGAGCTGATTACGAAAGCTTCAACTGTGCTACTCTTCCAGCAGGATTTGTGCTTTACTTTTTTGGCATTCTTTGGAGCGTGTTCAAATGAGGGTTTCAGTCTATACCATAAATTCTCCAAAAAATAAAAACGAAAAATGGACAAGAAAAATAATAATAATTTGCCCCGTGCACTCGACATATTTTGCATTGAGTCAAACAGAGTCACATCGTTGGAACAGGCGAATGAAGTGATTAGTTACTTGGCCATGCTCATGCCATACATGCATGTGTACAGCATTCCGTGGAATTTTATCTGAATTCTCCCTACTCAAACCTATTCTGTGTCTCGGGGTACGCTTCTCTAAACAGTGCAGCCATCACATTCTCTGGTCAGACGGACTGAGAATGAAAATAGCCATTTACCCCAACCCCCCTTTTGTGTCTTGCCTGACGTCCGATAGACACCCGCCGCCCCCATTCAGCCATGATCTCCCATATGAGAAGTGCCTTCATTTCCTCTCTCTGCTATCTGAATAATCCCCTAGTAAAAGCGTCGTGAAAATCGCAAGTGCTAAAGGCAGCTTGGAAATTGGTGCCAGACGAATAGAACATCAAAGCTTGTTGTAAAAAAGGTGCCTTGTGAAATGTTTCCATGCTTCATTTAGCTCTGTAAGTAACTCCTCTCCGGAGGGGGGTAGGGCTGCTCCAGCGGAATTTCCAGACCGCTGTCGCTTTGGCGCGAAATTTGAATTGACAAGCATAAAAGTGAACTCTTAAAAAGAGTTACAAGTTTGAGTGAAGTAGTGCATTCAGAGAAAAATAGCGGACAAAATGTACAGTCCAAACTTTTTTTTTTGAACTTATGAAAATTAAAAACCCGCACGCCGGCGCTTCCTTCTAATAAGAATACAACTCCCCCATCGAACCTGCTTTCTTATGCTTACGATTCAATACCACGTACTGTAATATCGTCCCAACAACAATTACAACATGTGCGGTAATCAGGCTAATATTCACGTTCCACCCCATCACGTACAGCGGCCGGTCTTCTTGCTGGAAGACATGGCTGGCAACAATGCCAGCTACATTCGTTGCCATCGTAAACAAGGCCATTGCAATGGACCGTTCTTCTGGTGAGCGACAATTCATGGACATCCAGGAAGCATTGACGGGCTCTGTTTCCGGTCACCCAATTAGCAAGCGATTCTGCGGCATTTCAACTAGAATATAAATATACGGGGTGATTGAAAAAAACTTACGCCATACGGCGCAGAAGGCGATAGCAAGCGTGAGAAGTGCAAATCGCAGGTTGCCGTCCGGAGAATACACGAGTACTCGGCACCCGAGCTATAGGAATGTTAGAAGGATGCGGCAACATATATGGCTTTAGGCGATCTCTGTAGAAGAGTCACATACAACAAATCCCCAGCTGCACAGCGAGCCTGCTAGAACGACATATCCACGTCTACCTGTTTTATCTCTTCATGGCGGTCAGCTAAGTATTAAAAAGCTTTGTATCGCCAAAAAAGAAAAGGAAAAATTGGACATGTTCCCTTACCCAACATATCCCCAAAGAACTATCAAAAATAGCTGAGCCCATAAACCAATGGTTACCAAAGCATTTGATACTAGCCTTTCGAAACCAAAGGATGCTACCAGGGTCGGGGCATAGGCACCGAATACGTAGATGGGTGCCAGTCCGGAAATTGTCACGAATAGATGCGGATACATTTTCCAGTTCGTTACCTAGATATTAAGAGTCAGCTTGATGCCTATCAATGTTGTTAGTCATTGGGTAATGTCACCCACCGCTCCCTTCAGCTGTTTGAGCGATATAGAGTTTCCTCCCTTCTCTTTCTTAGGATCATCCGCAAGGACTCTTCGGGATAAAAATGCGGCTTCCCTCTCGGTAAAATAACGATACCCAAACATTGAGATTGGGTTGTCTGGGTCCTTCGGGAAAAGGGCAAGGAACAGGAAACCAACGATGATGGTGAGGAGGCCCTCTAACTGATAAATTCATTAATTTCCACATGTTAATCAAAAGGTATATGAAAAGAACACCATACGATAAAGAGCCATTGCCATCCTGCCAGCCCACGAATCCCTCTCATTTGCAATCTGGCGGCGTTAGCAGGTGTACACCCTTAAGATGAACAACAATCGTGCAAATGGCCTGTTGCCTTTTTTCCGAGATATCTTACATTCCATATGCTATTAAGCCACTTGCTGCCCCAGCGGACAAATTTCCAATGTAAAATATGGCAAATCTCTTGCTAGTCTCGCTTCGCTTATACCACGTTGTAAGGGTGTAGAGGCTAGCCGGCACGAAGCCAGCTTCGCAGATTCTGGTAATTTTTGTCAGCCTTAATATGTGTTGATGGCAATATTGAAGCAAAGTAGATATACCCAAGTAGTATCCTGGTGATTAAGAATGCCGCCAATCCCTTTTGAAATGCCTGTAAGGTGGCCACGGTACCCCTAACACCCGTCAGTTGGTATCAAAAGTGTGGCGGTAGGAAGCCTACTCACCATGCAAAGATCTGGGCAGCTATCCATATTTGTGGACCCAACTTGAATAGAATTATGTTGCAAGGAATCTATGATACGACTGGCGTTTAGAATACTAGATACGGCTTGGATCTAGGATGCGGCAGACTTTTGAGTAATAGATCTGGCCATACCTCGACCAATATAATCGCGAGCGGAAGGAGCAGTTGGCCCGTATTGAATTGGTTCTGAGTAATGCCGACATCTCGAAAGAAGAAGTCTGTGAGAGCATTTCCTCTGGTGAGAGGTATACATAGTCAGTATCTTGTACAGTAGAAGATTCAGGTGGAGTCTTGAGGCTAGAACGGTGTGGGGTCGAGTGCGTACATGTTCGCGCGATCGAGTTGCAACACCATGAACCCCAACATCAAAGTCGGCAGCACGGCCCAGTCAATCCTGCACAGATAGAGAGAGAGGTTGTTGAGGTCAGTCTAACTGCTAGTCAAACGGCGCTGCACTGAATCTTCACTAACTTCCATACAAGCCTCCTTTCTTCCTCCGGTGTTAATTCATCTTCAAACTCCGATATGGGAGCCACAGGAAACTCGTCGGCTTCTAGCTTTTCGCTGAATCCCTCCAGCGGCGGTGGTGTGGGGTGTCGATACATTTCATGTTCTGGGCGAGGACGCATCTCATCGAAATAGCAATTTAATGCTGAATGGAGACTTTTTTTCCCCAGTCTCACTGCATCGCGATGGGCTGCGGCGCTCTGTTTTATATAACGACCCCGTCAGAAGCCTGAGGCTCAGAGTCAGGGATAAGAGGCTTTCTTAGTTAGAGCGCCTCGCCGTAGCGCATATTTAAAAATGGCCACATCTCCGGCTGGGGATAACAAAGTTCAAGCCATCGCCGGCATCACTGCCATGGGTGTACTCCGTACTCCGTATATGAATTGAGGATGGATTGTTCCTGGTCTTTGCAAGGTTGGTATGCAATGCAAGTCACCAATTGAGGGGTTGGCGCTGCTCGAGACCGCTCTTCCTGTGTCTTCTTGTGCATGGATACCTTCCCTATAAGATGAGCGTTATTCTGAAACTTCATCGCTACGAACCCCGCGGTTGTAAACCAATTCCCTGCGTGTTGAGTTTTTTTTTTAAATTTTTTTGTTATTATGTAGCCCAAGCTTAAACTATTCGTTGACCAATCACCTAATAAATCCCAACTGTCGCGACCGCGCAGCCGCCGGTTAAAGGAGACCGAAACCGTGGTACAGGACGGGTGGACAGCCGGTGATTATCCAAAGCAAACATAATGATGAACTATACAGAGTGTGCCGGGATAAATAACAACTCTTCCTGGTTTCTAACTGCTGAGGTCGACTAATTTCTAGGTGCTCATCATTTCCTTTGGTTGGCAGTCTCATACGCTTTTGCTCCGCTGAGAATGGGTGAGGCAAACAGCGCTCCTGAATGTGTATAATCTATCAGTATGAGCTGAATGAGGTACTCACCCAATGGATCCTTTTCTGGAAGATTTGGTGATTTCGGCGCAAGTCACCTTGTCCCGCCTAGAATGCGAGCTCTGCATACGAGGAAATCCTCTTCAAACCCTTGTTTTGTGCTCCGTACGTTAGTTATGTGTACTTGGCGGTTGGTTCAACCCCGAGTTCGAGGCCAAATCACACTATCTTGGGGGTTAGAGGCCACACCAGAGACGCCCACGCGCGGGTTCCCCTAGTCCTAGCCCGCATGCCTGAACATACCCTGTAAGGCGGGAGGGACCTTCGGCAGCGTCAAATGAGGGCTTGATTTTTGATGTCGCGGAAGGTCATCCGTTTTCCCGACCTTCTGCCTGGAACATGGATAAACAAGCGCACCTCCGTTTCGGCGAACATCCTTTTTTTTTCAAGTTGTGAGAAGATGAGAGGATGGCTTCTTTCAGTGATAACTTCTTTGAGTAACTACCCCCTGGGATTTATCCTGCTCTTTCTTTCTTTCTCTCTTTCTTTCGCTCTCTTTCTCTCTCTTTTTCTTTGGAAGAAGGTTGTCCCTTGTGGACATTTGTGTGCAAATTCATGTCATTTTTCGTCTGGTTTACACATCTATCTTTAGCCATGGGGAAACACTAGACGCCCTTCCGAAGAAAGAGTGATCGATCGGACGGACAAAAAGGAGATCACTCTATCTTAGCCGCGGGGCTCATCCTCTTTGGATCTTGATTTCAACTCCGTACCTGTTGCTAATGATCATTCTTCCTTCTTCTAGCCTCTTGGTACGAGCGACGGTTCGTTTGCGCAGCCAAGCAGCCAAGTCCCAACACCGTGGTTCATCCGCAGCGGGCTTGCTTCGAACCTTACTGCCGCGGGACATCTCACTTTTTGCCCAGACCTGTCCCCGAAGCTGACATGGCTAAGACCGTTTTGGAAGCAAGACAAGATATGGTTCTTCTTCCTCTAATAATAATAATAATTAATAATACTTCCAGTATTGTGCAGGGAGACTTTTAAGATACCATTGTCACTTTCATCTTGCCCATACGAATAAAGGCAGCCCTGGAAGCTTTGTTCCTCGACATTCCTAAGGCTCCTTACCTTGTCACTATTGGTCACAAGTCGAGAAAGACGTGAAACCGCTCCCAAGCCCTTCGGGGGACGTTCATTTATGTCTAGCGGTTCTTGAAACGGTGAAACAAAAAGGGAAAAGAAAGGGATAACGAAAATGATACATTTTGGTCGGGTTATCTACTTACCACAGAAACACAGGAAACAACAGCTTTATGATGAGTTATTTTCTCCATAGCTGTATATTCCGAGCTGGAGCGTTCCACAGAACAAGGGAACACGCAAACCCAGAGACAACAGCCACCATTCTCGACTCAGCCAGCTTTCACCAGCCTCGTTCTTGTTCGAACAATATCCGTCAGAGCCCGAACACGGTCATCAGCCACACAATCCAAAAAAAAAAAAAAAAAAAAAAAAAAAAAAAAAAAAAAAAAAGTCCCAATTTGCTTCGTTCGTGTCCATCACATTTTCCTTCCCATCCGTTCCTCCTTCTCTTGCCAAGTCGCCAGCTTCCAGCTCAGCCAGGCTTGGATCGCTGAATCGCTTGGTGTTTGACTAGCTTGTGCTACTAGCGTTTTTGGTATGGAGCTAGAAAAAGGAAAATTAATTACTAGTCGTTCGTACCCTTAGCGGTAGCGATTTGGCGAGAATCACCAGCAAGTTCACGATCGATCCAGCAAGACCAGGTCCCAGGAGGATGACGAATGGCAGCGCATAGAAAACGATCCAGTCCGATTGAACGTTTTAGCTTTCGGAATGAATCTTTGTTCCTGTTCATATTGGAATTTTCAATGGTCGCCGAATTTGATTGAATTATTGAAGCAGGACGCACGCCATGACAACAAGGAAGCAAAGGGATTATGAAAAATCGGAGTGGTGTTTGTTTGAGGAACCCCAAATATTTTCAATTTTAACAGAGCCTTGAACGGCGGGGAACTGGCTGGGATTGTTACAAGAAGAGTGTCATCACAAAATCGGGTCTCACCAGTTTTCAGTTTTCTTGGCGGCTCATTGGGCAGTTGATTTGGTTGAAAAATGAGGTTTTGTGAATGAGACATTCAGACGGGCGTGGATTTGCTCATGCCCGTGCCACGAAGCTAGCCAAGCATGTAGATTGACGTGTTCATAGCAAATCGCAACACTTATAAGAAGGATCCCATATCTTCAGAGATCTGCTGGCTGCTGGCACCCATCATCCTGCATGCCACAATGATGGAGGCCTGCGTGCACTTTCGATCTTCACCATCAATTAATCTGATCACACATCGCCAACCTTAACATGTGACTGTCCACTCCGACTAGATCCGAAATTGAGTTTCCCTACTTTTTCCCGGGATGAGCGCTGGCTGGAAGAGTACTGATAATCGCATCATGGTCTCTTTTGGGGCGGGGTTATCCAAAAACACCGTCGTATACGGTTATAAGCTATGTACTCCATAGTGTGGCCTCTTTTGACCCCAGAAGTATTTTGAGGTGGCGAAAACTCCCACGATAAAGTGTTATTATGAGATGCGGAGAATGAGATCTGATTCCAGCTCCACACGGAATTTCTTTTGCCTCGGCCGGGTCGCCTAGTTATGCACGAACGTGGGGATATCAAACAGGGTGATTTGGCTGCGTCTGTAAATGCCTGCAGCTCTTACTGCCTACTGCATGGCCATCCGGACTGAGCTCGCCACACGGTGACGATCGAGAATCGCTGTACGGAGTAGTCTGGAGACGACGTAGTTTTCAAATGCTAAGATAAAAACTGCATCGACATGGCGTAATTTTGACAGCTGTTGTCCTTTCCAATATTCTCAGCCACAGAAGGCGTTAGCGCGGGCAAACTATTCGGACTTTCTCCATGTAGTTATCCCTGTATCGTCTCGGGCAACAAGATCTGACCGTCCAAGGGACAAATTCCGCGTAGAATTCTGCCCTATTCCTTTCAAGATGGCTTCTGCTGGTGCTGAGAATGGAAAATAGCTCCCATTTCATGATCTGTATTCTTGAAGGCAGATAAAAAAAAAAAAAAAAATTCAAGCAGAATGGGAGACTGCTTTGAGGAGTTGCCGAAATGTTTTTAACCCCAACCGCCGGCGTCTACTACAAGGAGAGCTGAAATCTGGCTGTTTCGATCCCTGTAATGTCGTGCAGAATCAGGTTTGTAGTTGCGTAAAGGGATTTTTAGGAACTTTTAGGGCACATCGCTCAGGAGAGTGCTGGACTGTACGGAGTACGGTAATCTGTACTGTAAGCCCCATCATTGCTGCCCGCTATCGTGGATTTGTTCTCCACGCTCGCTCCAGGGCGAAGTTTATTGTTAGTTGCAGGGCAAGATCGCGCTGGGGCTGCGGTTTCTGTCGTTTTCGTGGCCTTTCGTGTCCTGAGGCGACTGCGATGATGGGCAATTCCCATTATTATTGTTGTTCTTTAGCGGTCAAGAGAGAAAGAAAGAAAGAAGGCAAAATCCGAATTAGATCCTTTTTCTCCTTGTGTTGTTGTTGTTGTTGTGGTGGTGGTGGTGGTGGAGGTGGTGGTGGTGGAGGTGGTGGTGGTGGAGGTTTGTTCTTTCACCTGCTATGTGTCTCGCCCCATTATTATATTATTATTTATTTTTACTGCTGCTATTATACGCAGCGTAGTTAAATATCCTAAATACTACTTGTACACAGCAAGCCGGCTGCCTGGGCACTCTCTTATTATTGCCAACCCACATTTTCTCCTGGACAGCTCATCGTCCTGCTGCTGCTGCCAACAATCCTTCATCTCCCACAGCCAATCCATCTGTAGTGCTTGTCCGCTACCCACGTCAAACTCCTCCAAAGCAGGTCCACGCTGTCCTGCCGGAGCACACCCAATCAGCTATCCAAGCTTCATTGGAGCTTCTCGTAAAGAATTCGGTCGACTTCAATCCCTTGTGCGATCGATCCTAGCTAATTCAAGAGCCGCACCCAGTACCCTCTGCTGCCGCAATCTGCTCTAACCAAGCCGAATTGAAGCAGTAAGGTGCCATGGAAAGCCAGCAGTCACAGCCGCCTGCGGTCTCGCCTGAGACCATCGAGAAGAAGATGGTTGAGGAGAGCGAACACGTTGGAATTCCTGCCTTCCAGTTCGATCCCGATGCTCCCCCATCCAAGAAAGCTGAACAGGTAGAATTGGTAGGTTGCTGCCTTTTCCTCCCGCTACCCGGTCTCCGCTTTCCTTGAATTTTACTAATCCGTTCCGTGGCGCGCAGGCGATACCATCGGACATGTTCAAGCAATCCCAAACAAAGGCCGTCGGTGTCTCTACGGATATAGTGGGTCTACTACATTATTTATTTACTTTGCTCGAAACCTTATACTGTGGAAGAGATCGGAGCTGATATGTCTATGTGCTTCCCTAGGTCAACGGCACTTCGAGTATATCGAGCAAAGCTCCCAAAGTAGTCGATGCCGGTAAACCTGAAGCACCAGCAGAAACGAACGGCGAACTCGATGAAGCAGCCAGGTGGGATCGACACAGGACCGGCTGGGCTCCCCGCTTTCATACACCCGAGGATGACATGGATGAGGGGGACACGCTCTTGGACCATCAAACATTCATCGAAACCAAGTTGGATGACAAGTTTTTCGGAGGTCTCGTTCTACTCCGTTGCCACACTTTGATTGCTGTTTTGAGGATAATAAGGGGCCCGTTAGCTGACTGAAAACTTTGAATATAACAGATTGGTATCATAACACCGCGGTCATCATTTTCGCCTGCCTGGCATCATGGGTAATAGCGCTGCTTGGTGGAGGTTTGGGGTGGGTGTTCATAGTCATGGCCGGTTGCGCATCGTACTACCGCACTTCTATACGTCGCGTTCGACGAAATTTCCGAGATGATATCAATCGCGAGATGGCAAAAAATAGACTGGAAACCGATACGGAAAGCTTGGAATGGATTAATAGTTTCCTCGTGAAATTTTGGCCTATTTACGCCCCTGTCCTCTGCGACTCTATTATAAACTCCGTCGATCAGGTTTTGAGCTCTGCTACGCCTGCCTTTCTAGACAATTTGCGCCTGAAGACCTTTGTCCTTGGAAGCAAACCCCCTCGCCTAGAGCACGTCAAAACCTACCCGAAAACCGAAGTCGACACGGTGCTCATGGATTGGAAATTCAGCTTCACGCCCAATGACACAATGGATCTTACTGCTCGGCAGCTGAAAAATAAAATCAACCCCAAGGTCGTACTGGAAGTTCGCATTGGGAAAGCGCTTGTTTCGAAAGGCCTCGATGTGATTGTGGAAGACTTTGCATTTTCAGGCCTGATGAGAGTGAAAGTCAAGCTTCAAATTCCGTTCCCACACATTGAACGTGTTGACGTCTGCTTCCTTGGCCGCCCAGAAATCGACTATGTTTGCAAACCATTAGGTGGTGATCTGTTGGGATTCGACATCAACTTCATCCCTGGACTTGAAAGTTTCATCAAGGATCAGATCCACGGAAACCTGGGCCCGATGATGTATGAACCCAATGTCTTCCCCGTCGAAATTGCGAAGATGCTTGCAGGTAACCCGGTAGATCAAGCTATCGGTGTGGTCGCAGTCACCATTCATGGAGCCTACGGCCTTAAAAATTCCGACAAGTTCAGCGGCTCTGTGGATCCTTATACAGCAGTGTCTATTAATAGTAGAACTCCTCTTGGTCGAACAAAAACAATTCACGATAACCCCAACCCTAGGTGGAATGAAACAATCTACGTTATCATCACCTCTTTCACAGATTCTCTTACTTTCCATGTCTACGACTGGAACGAGTTCCGGAAGGACAAGGAACTTGGAATAGCGACATTCCCATTGGAGCCTCTCGAGCATGAGGATGAACATGAAAACATAACCCTTGAGATTTTATCCAGTGGCCGACCACGCGGAGGGCTCATGACTGATATTCGCTTTTTCCCTGTCCTGGAGCCGACAACAGTCGAAGGTGGCACCGTGGAGCCCGCTCCGGAATCTAATTGTGGAATTGCAAGGTTTACGATTGAACAGGCGAAGGATCTTGACGGAACCAGGAGTCTTATTGGACAGCTCAACCCATATGGTGTCTTGTTGCTGAACGGCAAAGAAATTCACGTTACTAATAAGCTGAAGCGGACAAACAACCCGATTTTCCAAAATCCCACAAAGGAAGTGTTGGTTACAGATAGAAAAACGGCGCGATTTGGTATGATGATCAAAGATGACCGAGACCTTGCTACTGATCCTATTCTCGGAAGATACCAAATGAAACTTAATGACATGTTGAGATCGATGGAGAAAGGCCAAGAATGGTTCAACCTTGCCGGCGCGAAAACCGGCCGTGTTAAGCTTAAGGTCCAATGGAAACCTGTGGCCCTCAGGGGAATAGTTGGTGGTGGAGGGTATGTTCATCCCATCGGCGTCATGCGTATACACATCCAACGTGCCAAAGGCTTAAGGAACGTGGAGACGATGGGCAAGTCCGACCCGTATACTCGAGTGCTCCTCTCTGGAATTGAGAAAGGCCGTACCGTGACGTTCGCAAATAATCTTAACCCTGAGTGGGATGAGGTTATTTACGTTCCAATGCACTCTCCACGTGAGAAACTGATACTCCAGGTTATGGATGAGGAAACTATTGGAAAGGACAGGCCCCTCGGAATGGTCGAACTATCAGCCGCTGACTACATCCGTGAAAACGAGAATGGCGAATATGAAGTTGACGATGAGAAGCAACAGATGTCCAGTGGCCTCCGTATTGGCGGACGCGGCCCGGCCAAGGGCATCCTCGATTATACTGTTGCTTTCTATCCCACTCTTAACGTCATCGATCCTGAGGAAGAGGAGGAAGAGGAGGCCACTCGCGCAGCTATGGCTAGCGAAATGCCCATGGATGGTCCCAGAAAGAGCCTCGAAAGTGGCCGTGCAAGCCTTGAAAATGGCACCAACGGCACCAACGGCACTAGACCTAGCACTGATGCCAGAACAAATGGTGCTTCAAGCCTTGATGCTCCCTCTTCATCAAAGGGACCGTCATCCAATACCTCCCAAGATTCACTGAAATTGCCTACTCCTCCTAAAATTCGCCTTACCCCACAAGATCTTTCTCAATACGGTATGTCCTATCGACCAAGGCCAAAGGGAATTTATCCCGAAGTTGTTCTATGCTAATGGATCACACAGAGTCTGGATTGATCGTTTTCAAGCTCATCGACGGCCAGCTGGCACATTCAAATGTCCAACTTGAAGTTTTGATGGATGATCATGTATTCCCATCGTATACCTCGCCTCGAACAAAATCTAAAGAAGCTGTGTTTGGCGATGGTCAGTTTATGCCCTTCCACCTACCTAATCATTTTGATTTTAACAACCGTGTTAGTTGGCGATGCATTTGTCCGTGAACTTGAAGTATCGAAAATCACTCTCCGCCTCGTTGAAAAAACGGATACCAAAGGAGAAGAGGATGCCAATCACGCTTTAGCCAAGCTCACTGGTCCGACGCTGCCCACGCTTCAACAATGTCTGGTAGGCATACCACTTCTTTGAGTCTACTTAAAACGCTTGGGATATGCTGACTTTTGATATTAGAACAAACCCACGCAACTAACGCTTAGGTCAAATGACGGTTCGACGAGCAAAATAACTGTCAGCCTGAAATACATTCCTGTGAAGATGAAGCTGGACCCTAGGGAAAGTATTAATAATATGGGGACACTTCGTGTCGACGTTTTGGATGCTGCTGATTTACCTTCCGCTGACCGCAATGGATTCAGCGACCCATACTGCAAGTTTAAGCTGAATGGCAAAGAAGTTTTCAAAACCAAGGTGCAGAAAAAGACTCTACATCCCGCCTGGAATGAATTTTTCGAATGCTCTGTCAAGTCTAGAATTGGTGCGGACTTGAGACTCGAGGTGTACGACTGGGATTTCGGTGACAGGGCGGATCACCTAGGTGGAACGGATATCAACCTTGAGAAATTGGAACCGTTCATTGCCTCGGAAATTTCGTATCCGCTTGATGGGAAATCTGGTGCGGTACGACTCAAGCTGCTTTTCAAACCAGTTTATGTGATGAGGTCTCGGCAAGGTTCATCTACATTCTCCGGCACATTTGCCGCTCCAGGTAAAATTGTCGGTGCGCCCGTTAAGGGAGTAGGATTCGTTGGCGGCGGCGTTGTTAAAGGTGCATCTTTCATTAAACACAGCATTCTTCGTCGCGGTGGTAGCAAGGACGACGATGACGACAAGTCCATTACTTTACCAGAACCATCAGGGGGGGAGAACCTCGCAATTCCCACCATGGCAGTCACACCAAGTGACACGCCGCAGAGAGCATCAGCCCTTGTTGACGGAGCCGCACCCCCGTTAACCCCTACACCAAGCACCCCTCAGACACCACACAGCCGTTCTCGTAGCATTGCCTCCCAATTCAATGAAAAGATTGGACGGAGTGGTGGAAGCAAAGGAGATACCGGGACAGCAAACTTCACCATCATTTCCGCTGCAGGGTATCCTTCCGGAACCAATGTGCGCGTCACAGTCAAACAGATAACTTCCAAGGGCGCGAAAGAAGTACACAAAACCAAGGCCATAAAGTCAGCTCACCACTCTGGATCATCAACTCCTTCTACAACGCCTACCGTCCAGTTTGACCCTTCCCATGAAACTTTCAAGGTCTCCAACGTTGCCGCGGACGCGCAGTTCCAACTACAAGTGAAGGACCATGCTACCTTTGGGTCAGACGATCTTTTGGGAGAGGCATTGTTCTTTGTTGATGACCAAGGGTCTAGTGTTGGAAGGGAGCACACCGTCAGAGTTGGCAGTGGTACGGTGACGCTGAAATCGGCATTTTTATCGGCAGAGACTTCGTCTCTGCGTCCTGGTACCTCGTACTCGGCCACAGGCGATAAACTGGACAACGTTGACAGCCCAGAGCGGAAGCCGAGAAGGAGCTTCTTGGCGAAACGATCGGTGAGCGGGGCGGTGCCTAATGGTGATTGAGAGAAGTGGCGAACTGGTGGCCGTATGTTGTTTTGACGGATGTTTGAGACTTTTCTTCATCTCTTTGTTCATCAATATAATTTTATACCTTTTCAGGCCCTATAGTTCTTTTTTCTTCTTCGTTTCTGGATTTTGGGTTGGGGGGTTATTGTCGAATTGCTCTTATCCTCTTATCATTTTTCTCTCTTCTTCTGTTTTCGGGTTTCAGCTTCCATACTTTCATTTCCCTGGTGGTATTTCCGTTGCGAGAGATTAGTTGGCTTCTCTTTTTGTGGGAACCTGTCTGCGCAGTCGTTTGTTATTTTTTTTTTTTTTAATTTGCTATTTATCTTTGTTATCACCCCTTTTGTTTTCATACATACCATTGTTTTTTTTTTTTTTTTTTTTTTTTTTTTTTTTTTTTTTTTTTTTTTTTTTTTTTTTTTTTTTTTTTTATCATATCATTCCACCCGTATTGTACGTATGACTCGTTGTCTTATGAGCTCATGTATAAACCACATCTTCAGTGTGTATGTTTTCTTCTCCCAGTATACGGAGTACTCTAAATAAGTGTCCGGTATCCAATTGGTGAGAATAAGCTCTCCCGGGCTGCGTCCGGCGCTTAACCCGGTAAGAGCTCTGGAAGGCTTTCCCCGCAAAACGTTCTTTCGAACCAGGGATCGTCCACTCCGAGGTTATAGTATAACCGAGCCTTGACTTGGAGCTTAGGATGGAATGGAAGCTCTCCAATGTTGAAAAGCTGGCCTTGTTCCGGGCATAGCTTAGATACTGGATATACTATTTATGAATACATATCATTTCTTAATGACTGCCTTAAACATCTAGTTATCCCGCAAGATTCTTCGAAGAAAAGATATAAAATCAGTCCAATTAAGTACTGTATATACATATAATCAGCAGGAATATACCTACCTCCATAAATAAAACTTGCCAATAACAATGGAGCCCTTCACAATCCCCAAATCATCCCTGGAATCCTTCACCAACAAAACAATCGTCATCACAGGAGGCTCGTCAGGCATCGGGCTCGCAACCGCCGAACTCCTCCTCTCCCTCTCCCCAACAAACAACGTCGTAATCCTCGACTAGCAACAACCCGCACAACCATTCGCCTCCCCGGAAACCGCCCACCGCACCCATTTCCACAAATGCAACATCGCCTCCTGGCCCGAGCAGCGCGCCGGCTTCGCCGCCGCCATCACTCGCTTCGGCCGCATAGATGCCGTCTTCGTCAATGCGGGCAGAGCCGAGTACGGCGACCAGTTCTTCCGCGATGAGCTGGAGGGGACGAAGGGCGGGTTGGAGAGGTTTCGGATGTTAAGGGAGCCGGATAGGAGGGTTGTAGATGTTGATTTGCGGGCGGCGGCGGACACGGTCAAGTTGGCGATTTACTGGATGCGGAAGAGGGTTGTGGGGATGGATGGGAGGAAGGGCGGGGTGGGGTGGGGAGTATTATCATGACGGCGAGTTTGGCGGGGTATTTGGCGGATGGGGGCGCGCCGGCTTATAGTGCGGCGAAGCATGGTATGTTATATATATATAATATATATTCTATGTCAATTGGGGCGTTTATGGCTCAGTTTTATATAAATATCTGGCGCGCTGGTTTACTCTACTAATATCAACCCCCCGTTTTCCAGGAATTGTGGGCCTCCTCCGCTCCCTAAAGAACGACGTTGCAAAATATAACATCTCCCTCTCCGTCGTTGCTCCCGCCATCACTTTAACCCCTATTATCGCCAGCTCGGGACGCCGCACCACCTCTGACCCGGCCGAATGGGCTGCCTCAATGGCCAAAGTCGGCGTCCCTATCAATAAAGCTGAGAGTGTTGCTTTGGCAGTGGCACATTTGATAAATATTGGCATGCAAGCCAATGGGCAAGGTTTGCTATTGCAGAAGGATAGGATGGTTGATGTTGAGCGGGGGATTGCGAGGTCGAGAGCGATGTGGATGGGGAAGGAGATGTTGGATTTGTTTAATGGGGGGAGAAATGGGCTTAGAGCTCAGAATAAGATTTGAATGTTTCAATAGTTTTTGATCTTGATGAGAGAATAGAGAAGATCAAACAACTTGCTGTAGCAATCAGTTCAATGTCCCATGCTTCTATTCGTTCTTGCTCTCAGCTCGCTCTCATACTATTTTGTTCCCCTGCCGCTTCAACAAGATAATTGTCCATCACTGAGTACAGCAATAAAAACACTTTCGATCCTCTGATTAGCACCACGTTCAAGTGTAACTCCATCCCAAGGAATGGATATGATTCCTAGTGGTTCTTACAAAGATTTAGGACAATGTGAAAAGCTATCGAGTGAGAAAAGCCCATTCCCCTTGGCGGTTTCACTCTAATCGAGGGCGCTTATACTGTCATGCAGAGCGCATATGGGCTGAAGCTGTAAGGATGAAGGAGAGGTCTCTCCTTCTGAGCATCGATCCAAATCCAAAATCATCACCTTCAAGAAATAAAGGAAGAAGAACATCCCACGGCTCACAGTCGTTGAAGCCTCAATTTATTCGGAGCTTGTAGTCCTTACCTTATACAGGGTGAGTTTTAGCGGAACCTCTATACATGTGGAACGGACGCTGAAATGTTTCAGGGAAATGTCTGGGTACCCGACTTCCGACACTCCGATCAGGCAGATCGGCGTCTTGGAGTTCTGCATTGTCAACGGGTGAGAGTTTATGAGAAAAAGAGGTGAGGAAGAATGGACTGGGGCTTTCCTTCAGGCGAACTGCCAAAAGGCATTGAACAGGCCCCTCTCTGTGTCACCCCTTGTTTAGGAGTCACAAGCTCCCGGTGAACCTCTCGCTCCATTGGTTGTTATTTAATCGCCCGTGAAGGCCAGGCTGGTTGGGTGGGTGTATAAAGTCAAGGGTGATGCAGAATTCTTGGAGTACCATCCTTCAGGTATCAAGATTGACATCACGGCGTTAGTAACATTCATGAACATAAAATAGCCTAGCCTCTATGACCGAGCAGCAGGCTACAATTGTGAAAGCCATTATTGCAGAGCAAGAACCCCACCTCCTCGAGCACCAAGTCGGCAAGCCACTACAGAGAATTGCCAGGGCTAGACCGTGCGTGTAATCGCTAGACTCGTTGAAAGAGGGATCATTGAAAATTCAAAGCCCAACATGGCACGGTCAAATGGTACAACAAATCTGATCATGAGGTTCACAGGCTGGCGGCCATTATGCGCTTTCGGGCTACGATAAGAGAGTTGAGACCTGAGTGTTCATAAACGAGGCGGTTCCACATTTTGGGAGACAGAAGACGTGTTTATAATATTGTGCTAGTGCCCCCAAGGGGATCTCGCAACCTCCCCTCCCGGGCAAAGCTAACGTGATAATCAGTCGCTTAAAAAAGGCCGAAAAAGGCCATCTGTAGCTCATAGGACGGCGTTAAAAAAAAGGAGGAAGCCGAATCTCGACAGCGCGTTTTTCGAGTACTTGGATCCAAATATGCTCATAATCCTCGCGTCTGGCGGTGTAGCTGATATACACCCTCTGGGAGAAGAAAAATAGCAAAAGAGAGGAATCTGGTATTAGATTTTCCAATTAGCATTCCGTAGTGCATTTGGTGTCAGCCAGCCGAAATCCAAGAACGGGTGCCAGGGGCGAAAAAGAAAGCGAGAGAAAAAAAGTCTATGCGGTAAGATGCTTTATACAAGAATAATAGAATATGATGATAGGGTAGCAGTAGTAGCATGAAGAAATGCAGTGTTCGTCAATCTAAAGAAAAGAAAAGACAAAAAAAAAAAAAGATAAGGAAAATATTGCAATGGCTATAACGGCCATTGAATATGCAGGAGAATATGTCTAAAAGCCCGAGAAAGAAAGAAAAAGGAGAACAATCGCTGGTTGTAAAACGGGAATGGGGGAACTCAGCCAACATAGCAAAAACGGTCCCTATGCGTTAACGAGACACGTGGATGTCCAAGAGAGAAGGAAAAAAGGAAAAAAGAAAAAAAGAAGACAGAAGAAATTATGCAAGAGATACGCATCGCGGTCCTGATGAGCCAGCCATACTATGGCGGTGACTCCGCGCGAGCAATCCGCGTCGACGACGCAGCGGCCTCATTCTCAAACCCAGCGGGCGGACCCCACCGCGACCGCGCCGTCGTCGCTGGAGGTCCAGATTCAGCACCACCGTTCGGTGCCTTCCCATTTCCATTTCCGTCTTCATCATCATGCTGACTCTCGCCATTCGCATCCTGCTGCTCCTGCTCCTCCTGCTCCTCCTGTCCGTCCCTGCGCTTCCCTTCCCACCGGTCCCGCTCGGCAGGTTTGTGCGAGTTGCCGCGGGCCTTGTTGATATGGACTCTGCTGCCCCAGACGGCGCTGACGCCGCTGAGGGCCTCGATGGCGCGGTCTGCTTCGTCGGAGGAAGCGAGGTCGACGAAGAGGTAGTAGTGGCTTCCCGGTTGGGAGCGCTTGGATGGATGTGGGGAGATCACTTTGCTGATTGCTTCGCTGTATTGGGGGTTTTTGGAAATGTTAGATTTAGACCATCGTATATCGAGTAGGGAGGGGGAACGGTGGGCGAAAAGTGGGAAATGCCCCAAAAAAAAAAAAAAAAAAAAAAAAAAAAAAAAAAAAAAGCATACATATTGAACCCATAAAACAACTTCCGAATCTCATAATCCGCCGTCGGCTGGTCTGGCATTCTAGGCAGCCCGCCAACGAACAGCCGGCGGCCCTGGGCGCTATAATCGTACCAGTGGTTCGCCGCATCCGACCTCTCCCATCGCTCAAAGACGAATCTGGGCGGCTGCTTCTCCGGCGTCGTGGCCATGTCTCTTCTCCCAAAGGGCTCCTTGGACGATTTCGGGATACCAGGCTTGATTTTCACGGGGCGACCGAGCATGTCTTTCCCGTTCAATTCCACCATTGCGAGGTCAGCTTGCTGCTTTGATTCCAGCTCGACGAAGCAGTACGACGGGTTCCGTCCGGTGAAGGGGTCGATTGATATGTCGATGCGCTCTCTATGTATGGAAGGTTAATCAACGACTTGAACGTTTTGGCTCGTATTGGTGCGGGTGCCGCTGACGCTGCAACAGGGGCGAAACAGGCGCAATGGAACGTCTCTGCGGGGTACTTTGAAAAGGGAAGAAGAGTATGCTTACACGTTATACACCGTCTCGCCTTCGGTGAAGAGAGCTTCCACATCCTTCTTCTTCGCCATGTACGGCATATTGCCCACATATAGCCTCCTCCCTTCAGAAAACGATTTCATGGCCGGGGAATCAACATCCTCTCTATGAGAAACCTTGGCAGGCGTGGACGGCTTTGATCCTTCATTGCCATTGTGATTATTATTACTATTCTTATTCCAGGTCCGACTCTGAGATTGGTGTCCCCTCTGCATGGGGCTGCGATTGAAATTCAGCTCACGTTTTTCAGGTCCATCTTCGACTGTGTCTGTTTCTGGATTGTCCGCTCGCTTTACACGCCAGTTTGGAGAGTTCACCCAGCGACGGGTAGGAGTTGATTTCTGCTTGAGTTCAGGATCTTGGGGCTCAGTAATTTGTGCCATTGTTCCGCGCGGCCACGAGTTGGGCGTTGTTTATTAGGTTTTGAGTCGTTTTTGTTTTTGTCCAGTAGGTTTCGTGTTTGCGCCGCTTTGGAGAAGAGACGAATTAGTAAGAGCCGCACGCTGATATAACAACACACCACCAAATCTGCCATTACACAAGACGACATAATGATGAAAATTTATAGACATCAAGAAAATGCTGAAGTACGGCATAGTGTCTGTCATATTTACACAGTAGAGATCTGGGAGTGACTAACAGCACAAACCTACTAGGTCAGAGGCCCCAACCAACAGTTCCAGGGGAGTAGAGTAGAGGCTCGCTTTCGACAGGGTCAGAACATTTATATTAACAAAGTCGTCCCGTTCGAAGACTGCCTCTTGCAAAATCTGTTGTTTTTATTTGAAGCTGGGTGAAGCAGATCCGTGATTGGCGAAAGATTTTTTTTTTTTTTTCTTTTCAGTTTTCTTTCCCGGATAAACATTTGTTGCAGCGGAGAGGGAAAAAAAAAAAAAAAAAAAAAAAAAAAAAAAAAAAAAAATCGTCTGGCAACCAAAAATCCCCACAAGCAAAAAACCCTAGGGCTGAAACTTAACCCTAACTCCGAAGCCAGCAAACTAAATATTATTAATAATTGAATACGAAGAGACATCCAGATCCAAGATCCACGATCTACGCTGCGTTAAGACCCAACCAAGCAGCACCGCAGATCTTCCTCAGAGTCGAGTCAACGGGATCGAAACCAGCTTAGCTTTTTGGGGAAATAGATTCGATCTTCTAACATATTCCAGGACGCAATGTCCGCAGTAGATAGCTTGGGTGGTTTAAGTAATAATATATAAGCTTATTGATAATTGTTCTATCCGCTTCATCAACTCAACTCTGGACTTAGGTGAAAGCACCTTGTTTGGTTCATCCTTTCGTTGTCAACTTCAGTCTCCAGTGCAATTTGTCATGTCAGAACCTAATCAATGATGCGTGCCCAAAGCTGTGATTAGGAGAGAGGGAGTCTGTTAGTTATTATACATGTATTGTTACTAATGTTTTGAATTTATGATGGGATATTGTATGTAGATATGTAGATATGCCGGTGGGGGAATACTAGTTATTAATAGAGATGTGAGAAAGGAGCTTTCTTTACACAGTAAATGAAATGGCCTGAGCATCCAGGTAAATCTGTCAGCTGATATCGTATGTATGTATGTATGTATGTATGTATGTATGTGTGTGTGTATGTGTGTATGTATGTATTCATGTAGAAGCTTTGAGACATTCCGTATTGATAGTCGGCAATTATGGGAGGAGGGAGTGCTACAATTACTTGTGACTTATTATTAGTATATTTAAAGTGTCTCTCTCTGGCTGCTACAAGATAGGAAGAAACGTGTGTCCGGGGAAGTCTTCCAATAATTAGCTAGGATAGTTAAATAACTTACTTAGTTTGTATGTATGTACTGCGTACATGTACGGAGTAGTTGCTGGTGACTGTACGGAGTATAGGGTACATCTGTAACTACTTTTGCAGATGTAACATGGGAACAGGAGCGACAAGCTTCAAAGCAAAGATGGTTCCTAGCCCTGGTTTGACTGTAACATTGAACACACCTTATTATTAATAATATTGAAGTTTGTGTGTTAACAACTAGCTAACGATTGGTAGTCAACCAACGACGGCCAGGCCTAGCAATGCAGTGCAATGCAATGCTGGCAATTTCATTTTTTCCTCTCCTCTCCTGCTATTTATAACCCGAATAGAAACGCTTGTCCAGAGCTTGTTTGCTGTTTCAATTTTTTGGTTGGCTGGCAGCCTGGCACAGTGGCACGCTACGGCGCCAATAAAATCCTCCTTGGGAAAACTGGAGCCTTCAAAGTTCAGGGGCCGGTGCTGGCGGGGCTTCTTGGGCGACGAGGCCCCATCGAGCACCCGAAACGGCGCCGGGTGTTAGGGTCGATTGGGGGCGAGACTTCGGCTTTGGTTCGGGTGATGCGGCCCTGATACTTGTGTGTATAGTTACTAGTAGGGAGGACAGCACAGCGTGACAGCCCCTGGGAACGAACATGTACTGCGTTATGATCTGCAGCAGCGATGGCATTTCAGAAAGAGACAGAGTTATGTATGTAACTTTTACTATCAAATAATAGATAAACGGTTCCGTTTTCAGAATACACTTCAAGTAGTTATCTTCTAAAGGTATATATGTACTTTGTAACCTACTGAAGAAGACCAGTTCCCGCAGACTCAGAGCTGACGATGCATCCCTCAAACCACCCCACTCACTCACTCTCTTCCGGCCCGTTATTGCCTGTTACAATAATAACGTTCATAATCGAAAAAAAAAAAAAAAAAAGGTAAGACAAAAGCCCCTTCCCCTATCTAGCTGGTGGAATGTGGCGTAGTTCTTTACAAGAATGATGAGGCCTGTCCGCTGGGTTTAACTATTATAATATTTTCTAACCCCTTGGCCTCGAGCAATTAATTCTATTGAAATACTACTTCAGCACTCCCCTCCCCACCTCCCTTCAGTCTCATAGACAGTTTCTTCCTTTGCTTCAAATATTATTTCTTCTCTTCTCTTTTCTGTTTTAGATTTACTCGTCGCTCTATCCCGACCTCTCTCCTCTCTCCTCTAGCTGGTGGTTTCTCTTCGAATCCTTTGTGGTTGAATAGATAGATAGAATCAGCTATTTCCCCTCCAGTAAGTAGGTAGTTTATATTCCAATCCTAGCAATCTGCTTGCGCAAGCAGCCCCTCCAAGCGGGCATCTCTGGAGACTGAACGGGCTCTATTGGTCCATATACTGGGTTCTGAGATCTGCGGCAGACGGGGGTTGGATGAGGTGACACGGCTGCCATTGAATGCCATGAAAGCCACGAGAGCGATGAATACCGTCGATGCCATGCCAGGGGCGGTTCCAAGGTTTGAAAAGGAAGCTTGGTCTGGGCAAGCATCATCGCCCAACGCTGGTTGCAGTTCCCTCGCCCAAAAAGCCGGTTTCTGGCCCAACAACACGCCAACACTCGCCAACACTCGCCAACTCTCTTTTCTATCTATCTTGATACAACTACTCTGGCGCTGACAGTTTGAAGCCTCCCATTGATCCCTCTAGATCCTATATTTCACTTGGTCCTCCGACTACCTTCTACTTTCTCTTATTTATTCTGATTCCCAAATCATTGCGACATGGCGAACAGGGCAATTCCCTCTCACCTTCGAGCCCCTGGGCAAGAGGCGGGGAACACCGCAGAGAGCCCCTTTGAGAGAAAACGTCATGGAAAGTCACAGTCACACATGGTGAGCAAAAAGCCTTCTCTCTCTCTCTCTCTCTCTCTCTTTCTCTCTCTTTCTCTTTTATTACTGCCGTACAAGATGCCTCTGATTGTGTCGATTCTTGTCTCCTTTGGTTGTTGTTACCCCGTTGTGGTTGCTGTTGAGAGTGAATGTGAAAGGTTCTGGATAGCACTTGAGTCTTTTCCTTTAACCTCCTATTTCAAGTGTTAATTGAATCTCGACTTCCACTCGAGCAACAACATGTGCTTGCTTCCTACATTCTATTTGTAATTTTTGCTTTCTTCTTGATTATCTATTTATAATAGCGACCTCCATCCTCTCTGAAGAACATTCCCAGCTGACCGATATTGTTGTGATGATAAAGGCGTTCGAGAATGCCTCTACCAGCGTCGCCGCCTCCCAGATGCGCAACGCCCTCAATGCCCTTGCCGATACCGTTACAGACCCCAAAGAAAAGAAGCGTTTCGAAGCAGAAATGGACAACTTCTTTTCGCTATTTAGACGATACCTAAACGACAAGGCCAAGGGCAACATCCTGTCTTGGGATCGCATCGCTCCCCCACAGCCGAGCCAAGTTGTCGAGTACAGCGATTTGGGGAATTCTGCCTCAGTAGACTTTTTGAAGAAGTTGGCCGTGATCAAGTTGAATGGTGGCTTGGGAACGTCGATGGGTTGTGTCGGGCCCAAATCCGTCATCGAGGTCAGAGACGGCATGTCCTTCCTGGACTTGTCTGTCCGGCAGATCGAGTACCTGAACCGAACCTACGACGTGAGCGTGCCATTTGTGCTCATGAACTCCTTCAATACCGACGAGGATACACAGTCGATTATCAAAAAGTACGAGGGACATAACATTGATATCTTGACGTTCAACCAATCTCGATATCCTCGCATTCTCAAAGATTCTCTATTGCCCGCAGCCAAGAGCTATCAGTCTCCCATCACTGACTGGTATCCTCCCGGGCATGGTGACGTTTTTGAGTCCCTCTATAACTCTGGAACGTTAGACAAGCTCTTGGACAGAGGCGTTGAGATTGTTTTCCTCTCCAACGCTGACAATCTGGGTGCTGTCGTCGACATGCGGATTCTGGAGCACATGGTAAAGAACAAGGCAGAATACATTATGGAAATAACAGACAAGACCAAAGCCGACGTCAAGGGTGGTACCATCATTGACTACGAGGGCCGGGCCCGCCTTCTCGAAATCGCCCAAGTGCCCAAGGAGCATGTGAATGAATTCAAATCCATCAAGAAATTCAAATACTTCAACACCAACAACATCTGGATGAACCTGCGCGCCATCAAGCGCGTCGTCGAGCAGAACGAGCTCGAAATGGAAATCATCCCCAACGACAAGTCCATCCCCGCAGACCGCAAGGGCGAGGCCGACATCTCCATCATCCAGCTCGAAACCGCCGTCGGCGCTGCCATCCGCCACTTCAAGAACGCCCACGGTGTCAACGTGCCCCGCCGGCGCTTCCTGCCCGTCAAAACCTGCTCCGATCTCATGCTGGTCAAGTCCGACCTGTACACCCTCCAACACGGCCAGTTGGTCATGGACCCGAACCGATTCGGCGGCGCCCCGCTGATCAAGCTCGGAACCGATTTCAAGAAAGTCTCCGATTTCCAGAAGCGGATCCCCAGCATCCCGCGGATCTTGGAGCTCGACCACCTGACCATTAGCGGCGCGGTTAATCTGGGCCGCGGTGTGACGATGAAGGGAACTGTGATCATTGTGGCAACGGAGGGGAGCACGATTGATATCCCCCCCGGATCTATTCTCGAGAATGTTGTTGTGCAGGGAAGTTTGAGGATTTTGGAGCATTAGGGAACAATAATTAATACCAAAACATCCCTCTCCTTCTTCTCCTTCAAACCTCAAAACCAATATTCAGTATTTTCTTTTTTTCTCCTTGACCCTGCATTTTCTTTCTGAACTTTTTTACTTGTATTTTTCTTCCCTGAAGGACCTTTTTTTCATATGAGCTAGGCATAATTTTTACTGGCGTTTAAAAAACCGAGAGCCCTGTGTTGCTTTGTGTTTGCGTGTGTGTATCTCTCGCATGTTTGTTGATTTGTTGAATAAAGGGGTGTTTAAATTTTTGTCCCTTTCAGTCTCTTTTCATCCCCCCCCCTTTTTTTTTCCCTTTAGCCTTCCCTTATTATATGTCGAAGTTCTGTGTAGAGAAGCAAGCAGATCACACCTTATCAGTTCAATTTAATTCTTTTCTTTCGCTCTCTTTCTCAATCCCCCGCCCCTCACTGTCTGCTGTGGCGCTAATAATTTTTTTTATTTCCTTTACTACATACATAACTTGATTTTATAAATAAAGACCATTTTTCTTGAGTTTCTCTGTTTACCTTCGACTTTGATATTCTTTCTTTCTTTTTTCTCTCTCTCTTTTTTAAATTGTTATATTGTTATCCATGAGACAATAACAGTATGTATCTACATCAGTCAGGGCAGGGTAGAGAGGTATGTATGTATATTATACATTATATTGACAAGTTGATAGGCAGGATGGATAATTAACAGAGTTAAATTACATTCGACGGGGTTCGCTGGTTAGCTGCTTTGTTTTCCATGGGCCTTGTTGAGGTCCATTCCATGGGAGCGGGATGCATGTAACATATATATCTGAACGTACCTATCTACTCCGCCCACGGGACCTGGCACACACGTGCATGGGACTACCTACCGACTAATATGCGAGTGTACCTGTGAGTGAAGAAATATGTATATGCAAAAAAAGTCGAGAGCGACCATCAGAATGCGTATTAATCAGTAATTAGTGATTTGATTGATTGATGGATTGATTGATTGATCTACTCAAACAACCCTTAACTACTGGAGTACAGAGTTATCTATGTAAGTAGGTACGGTAGTTACAGTAGTCACATCTAGTTAAGCGATCAATGATCAATGGGATGGAAGAAGGGATTGATTTGATTGACCATCTCCCACGAATCTTTCTCAACTAAGTTACTTCGGCTTTGCTTTGAGGTTTTGAGATGTAGTGAGGACGGTTGATCGTCTATTGATCTAGTTACCTGATGAGAAAGGTCGGTGAGGAACGAACCATCATGTTGAAACGTATCCTATGATAAGACTCGGTTTGGCAAAGGGTCGAATGGAAGTAAGTTATCTTTTGGGTTTTCGGCAGGGGAGCGGGGGTTTAATGAGTAAGTTAGTTTATAGATTGAGAGGCACAGAAGTTATATCTCCAAGGTCTGGTGTGGGTGAAATAACGAGAAAGAGGAGTAGACGAGCAACGCCAATTCATTATTGCAGCTGCTCTCCATGCAAGCTTTTATTTTTGAGAATGTGTCTGTCCTTTTCTCCCTCTTCTTCCGTTCTGTACTCAGATCTTGTTGTGATCATTGGGCGGTGGCGGGCTTAAAGATGCGGCTTAAAAATTAACCTCACCTTCCCAGCCAATCACGTGTTGCGTTGCTTTCTTCCCAAGGTTCTCTACCGTTTTTTGGCCCCAGCCATATAACCCAACAACGCCGACAAACCGAATCAACGTCACCAATCCGTTTGACAGCTGTCTAGCTGAGCTTTCGCCGGAAGCTGTATCGTATCTGATCGGGGCTTGCATGCTGCATGCTGCATTACTGGGATACTGAATCATATGGCCCAGTTGCTTTAATAATGGCATTGATTGGAATCGGCTACAATGTTATTTTTCCTATCTATCTATTCCCCTCCTTTGCTGAACGACTGACTTTTTTTTTTAAACTTTACAGAGCAACTTTTCCCCTCCTGGCAGTTCCAGCGGGACTGTCTTCGTCCCTGTTCCAGGGTATCCTTTTTTTTTGTTTTGAAACTCGGTTGCCAATAATCGGGAAAAACCAAAACATCAAGCATGGGGCGGTTTCTTCCGTGATTTTATATTTACATGCCAACTAACATGGCAAGAGAAGAATTGTTAAGTGGAGAGGAGTCGAGGGCAGAGGAGAGCGCGTACCAGCGTCGCTAACAGGGATGCATACATACTGGTGTTCGTTCAGACACAACAACAACCTCTGAGAGAGCCATTTAGCCAGTCTTGTTGAACCAACGTTCCAGACCGCTATGTCTCAAAGTTAGGAACAATCCCGCAACAAGCTTCGGAACCGACCCTTGCTACCATTATTCTCAGACGGGGCCCCATATTCATTTTCTTCTCTTCCTTCTTCTCCCTCTTTCTCGAAGTCCCGACAATCAAGTTCGTTGTCAATATCAGTATCAACGCCGAGAAAACCCGTGCCGATGTTTTTGGTTTCAACCAGTAAGAATTGAGGGATAATTTCTTTCCATTATGTGCCCTATGATAGTCTATGGGGTTATTAACTATGGGAACACGGCGCCAAGGGACTCACATCAGAGTCCGATGCGTGGATACTTGGGTTGTTGCTCGATGGCTGGGAGGATCGGCTAATCGAGCTGGGGAGTTGAGTGATGCACTTCTTCTGCCCGTCTGGAGTGAAAGAAAAGCTACTTATCCGATAGTGTTGTTTATCTTTGCCCGTTTTTGTTTCGTTTCGGGGTTTTTTTTATTTTATTTTTTATTTTTATTTTTCTCTCTTTCTCAAACAAAATTGAAATTTATGCATGGCGTATCCTCTGCATAAATTCTGCAAGAGAGCCAGCAAAGAGGCAAAGTCCACAAAAATTGTCTTGTAGGGGTTTTTCTTCTTCTTTTTTTTTTCTGCATGCGAACTCCGTATTATTGTGATTCTAATTCACTGTTTAGGTTTTCGTGATGTTTGCCCGTCTTGATTTGGCAGTTTAGCCATATCCCTACACTACTCTCTGTGTGGTGTTTTGCTTTGATACCCTACTCTGAGCAGTTCGGTTAGTTGATAACATTGCTTGCAGTTATTATCCCCAATACTAGCTCCGAAATAAAACATATCAATATCCAGAACCCAAAAAGGATGAAAATAATCTCACCAACCGTGCTCCTCCCTTTCCTCTCGACATCATACCTCATCACGCATGCCACCGCAAGGAAGAACGGCAACGATGCCTTCAACGGCATACACACAGGCTGTTGTCCATCGGAGCCTGAATTCCAACAAGCAATCTCCCACCCCAATGCCACCGGCGCATTGCCCTTCGTAGGCTTGCATCTAGATGATAGCGCCATAGCTACCCTGAGCAACGATCGCCCACCATCAACACCACCGCCCAAGAACTGGACATGGACAACGGCTGTCATGGAAGTGCCGCTGGGTAGCAGTGGCAACGGTGAGGGCAACGTATCCGCCACAAATCAGATCTTCACACTGAATATACCGGAGGACGTGGATATCTATAGCCCGAGGCATGGACGGAATGTATGCGTGTTGCTCCTAAAGATGGTTACGGTTAATCAGAATGATCCGGGGGACTGTGAGCATATATTTCCCAGGGTGACGATTGAGCGGATGAGAGAGGAGCTTGTGAGGAGGGTTGGGGAGATGACGCCGAATAAAGCGAATTCTTCGCCGTGTGCGGGGATGCGGGGGCGGACGTCGTGGCAGGGTGAGTTTTTTTCCTTTTCCTACCAAGCTTCAGATATCAAGTGATACATATCTATCCTTCAACACGCACACACACAACACACACACACACACACACACCCTCGACAAGAGAACTATTCCCTAACAACCACTCCCAAACCTTCTTGTAACAACAACAGAAATAATCACTTCCTACCACCGCGCCAACACTACTCTCTTAACTCGCAAAACCCCCACCGCCGCCCAATACCGCTCCACAACCAACCCGCACCCCGCCACAGACTACTCCCCCTACGACGCCGCCCTCGTCCGCACACAGCCCATCTTCCTACTGGGCTACTCTACCGATCCTGAAATTCTCGCCGGCCCTGCGATTCTCAAGATGGAGCTGGCAGAGACGCGGTTGACGTGTGTCAGGGTTCAGAAGGTTTTGGAGGGGAGTCGCGGGGCCGAGATGACGAGTGGGGGCGCGATGGGGAGGAAAGGGTTGTTGATGGGGATGAGGATGGGTAGCAACCACGAGAGGGGGGATTTTGGGGGGGTTTTGGTTTTGTTGTGGGGGTTGCTGTTTTTTTGGTGGGTGATATAATAAGGGGGTGTTCAATTCTTTTTTTTTTTTTTTTTTTTTTTTTTTTTTTTTTTTTTTTAGGTTTCCTTCTTTTTCCTTTTTCCTTTTTTTTTTTTTTTTTTTTTTTTTTTTTTTTTTTTTCCGGGGGGGGGTTTTTTAGGGGAATTTTTTTTTTTTCATTGGTAAGACCCCGCTCGGACCTGGGGATGAAAAGAGTTCGAAAACATGAGGGGATGGGGTGTGGGGATATGTCTTGTGAAGCTCATCCCTGGGCAAACAACACCATAAAACACACAGCAATCTTTTTGGCGCCAGGCGCTGCGCGTGACAGACGACAATAGAAAAGAGGAGA